GAGTGGGTGGAATTTAATCAAATACAAACAGCGATATTTCAGTTTGTGTGTGACATAATTTGGTAGGTTTCTGAATTTGTACAACCATTTTGCAATATTCAGTTTTGGACTGGGAGCCATAGGAACTAGTATGTTTCTTATATGAGCTATTTGAATATAATTTCCGTATGCGTTCCTATACCATTTATCTGATTGCGATAAAACTTTGGTGAGTTGTTGTTTGCACGCCAGCAAAAGGTTTCTGAATAAGTTCAACCATTTTACAATATTCTCTTTGGGGCCGGGGGCGATAAATTCGTTTCTTTTTCTAATATGAGCAATTTAATTATAATTTCAAACAGAACTATTGCATGGGTGGATGGCATTGAATCAAATACAAACTGCAACATTTCAGTTTGTAAGGAACATAAGTAGGTTTATGAAATACTATATCAATCATCCATTTTACAATATTTCGTTTGGTGCTGGGGGCCCTAAATTTGTTTATATGTACTAAATTCCATCCTACTCCAGTATGCCTTTCAAAACAACAGCGAGGGGATATACATCCACACTAGAGATGACGGCAAATTATTTAACATTGCCCGCCTTAGAGCTAAGACAAAAACAAGAAAGGTCTTGCTGCGGGAGTTCTTGTTTGCGGACGATGCTGCTTTGGTATCTCACACAGCTGATGGCCTGCAGAGCCTCGTATCCAGCCTATCTGCTGCCTGCAAAGAGTTTGGCCTGACAATTAGTCTAAAGAAAACTAACATTATTGCACAGGGCGCTGACTCCCTCCCCACTATCGCCATCGACGACTACGACTTGGATACTGTTGACAGATTCACATATCAGGGATCCAACATATCGAGCACCCTCTCAATGGAGGATGAGATAAGTGGGAGGATAGGGAAGGCCGCACTGTTATGGCCAGACTGAAGAAAAGAGTCTGGTCAAACGCCAAACTCACAATAAGAACTAAGCTGCGGGTGTACCAGGCCTGCGTACTGAGCACACTTCTGTATGGATGCGAGTCGTGGAAAACATACTCTAAACACGAAAGAAGGCTCAATGGCTTCCACCTCAGATGCCTGCGCCACATCCTTGACATTAAATGGCAAGACAAAGTCCCCAACACGGATGTCCTGTCCCAAACAAACATGTGTAGCGTCCCAGCCATGTTAATCCAAAGACGCCTCCGCTTGCTTGGACACGTCAAGCGAATGCAATCTGGTCGCATACCAATAGACGTGTTATACAGCGGCATGGAGACAGGGAAAAGGTCAGTTGGACGGCCTCGTCTGAGATACTTAGACATATGCAAAAGAAACATGAAGTCGGCCAACATCGATATCTCAAACTGGGAGGAGCTGGCAGAGGATCGATCCTCATGGCGGGGCATCGTGAAGGCAGGATCACTACATGCCGAGGAGCAAAACAAGTCGGAAACAGCTGCAAAAAGAGCGAGGAGGAAGGCCTGTAAAAACTGCTCCACCGCATTCGTGTGGGAAATGTAACAGAGACTGCCATTCGAGGATTGGTCTCACCAGCCACACCAAGAGCTGCAAGCAATAAAGATAATCTATCGTCTCCCGCAGACGGAAAGATGCCATACAATACTAAATGAGCTATATAAATATAATTTCAAACATAGCTATTGCATGCGTGGATCAACCGCTACAAGTGTGTGTACTAAATTTTTAAAATCCATGCTTCTCACATGTGGTCTGCTCACACTTCGAAAAACCTTCTAATTTATTCGAGTACGCACCAGGCGGTAAAAACAAAACAAAAAATATTGGGCATATAAATAGTACTTCAAAACACATAATTAAAACACAAACACTTTATTTCTTTGAGTGGCATTGCAACACATCTCGGGTACTTTTTAGTAATAAATAAACATACTTGACTTAGTAAGGAACTATCGTGAAAAATGATTGTAACACGTTTTCAGTATCAACCCAGACACTTTGGAGCATCTCCCCTTTCAGCGCTCTTTGGTAGGCTATACATTATGAGTGAAAGCGTACAGAGATAGAGAGGGAAAGAGAGAGAGAAAGCCAAGAAAGAGCGAGAGGGGGAGAGAGAGCATGAAGAGATAGATGGAGGGGAGAGCGAGTGAGAAAAGAGAGAGAGACAAAATGAAGTAAAGAAAATTAGAAAGTGTTCTCATCCCTAAATAACTTCTCAGTACACTTAATGACTGAGAGAAAAGACTAGGCGTCTCATTCTCTCCACTGTCTTTTAAATTCAATAATTTTCTAGTTCCAATCCCATAAACAAAAATGATCCTCAAAATCCACATTAAACCATTGGAGATTGCCGAAAGATTTTACTATGAGTATCTGACACACGCAAGGTAGAATTGCCAAAAACATGGTAATGAGGAAAGGACTTTGGATGTCATTATTTGTCACATTTAATTAAAATTATATATTTCTCTCTTTGAGTAAAGTAAATTATTTTAATTGTATTGATTTGGTTGAGGTTGGAGTGTTCCAACAAATCAAGAAATATACAAGTTGCTAGAGGACCCAGCCATAGTCGAGGCAATAACATAAAGGTAGGTTTCCTTTGACAAGTCACCTCAAGAGGATGCCAGATTATAAGTGGAGGAGAAATGGTTTACATACAGAAATCAAGGGTCATCCTTAAACGCAGACTGAGATGGATAGATGATGTGGAGTCAGATTTACATCACCTGGGGGATCTGAGTGGAATGATGTGGTGAAGTTGGCCAGAGCTGCCGTGCCATTGGTATTGAAGATTTGTTGGACAGTTCCATCACTAAACCAGCATCCCCAATGGAAGCTAATGTAGCTTGGAAGGATTTCTCTCTTTACTTTTGTGCTTTATATCATGTTCTCAAATTAAAATAAAGCTTTCCGTTATCTTTGTTCTGATCCATGAAAAGCTATTTTACCAGCTTTAAAAAGATATAATGCTGTTTCAAAATAAATAGCATTTTTGTTTTTTTAGCATACATATTTATATTAACTTTAAATCTTTAAAGAAAATAAAGAACATGATGAGCCAAAAGCTTATATTAAAATATTATGAAGAAAAGAGCTAATATAAAGTTAATTTTTCACAAAAATATACAAAGTCGTCATCATCATTTATAGCTAAGTAACGTATTAATGATCTTTCAGTAAAATCAGCAGCTAAATTGAACTTCTTTTTTAGATTAAAACAACATTTGGCCTCAAAAAAATTTAACCATAAAAATTATACAACATGTATTGATACTAGTAACAGCAACTACATTTAATACACACTTTGATGTGAAGAGAGTAGAAACCACACAAAAAAGCCTTCCAATCAAAATGTGTTGCAAAAACATACCAAAAAGTATCAAGCTTAGAGTTATCAAAGGTTTTTTTAAAAAGTAACTAATTGAACAATTATTTTATGGTTCAATCTTTCATATAGAAAAGAACTTTAAAATAGAATTATTTATAAGAAAACAAAGCTATAAATATATTTATTTACAGTGTGAGGCTATTTAAATGGCCACCCAGTATTTAGAACATCTGAAACCAATGTAAGTGAAATGTATGTGTTTAAAACAGTTTATGTGACTATCTAATGAGTTTTCAATAACTTATATTTACTCATATCATTAGACAGCCATTGGACCTTTGTGGGGAAGTTAACACAATGGCCTCTCAGAAAAACAAGTTTAAAGTTGTGAATGGTGATTACTTTTGTGTGATACCTTCATTCTTAGTTGGCTACTGTGGTGGATACAAACATTTAGAAGTTTTGTCCCCTTCATGAAGGTTACAGTAATAAATAGTCGAAAACTCTTTTTGTCCTAGCCTACAGGCCTGATGTGTAGTAAGAGTAATATAAACATAAGGCTTCTAAAATTTATAAGTTTATTTAATTTACCAACTTCCTATGCATGACAGCCTAAAATGCATGAAATAATCACTGGCATTTCAGAATAAATATACCTTTCCAAAAATCCTACTAATCATAAAAAGTGTTGGACTGCGATAAAGCTTTAAAAATAGCTTAAATATACACCAACAATTTGTGTCAATATAACAATATAAGGTAAGCTTAATAATAATTTTACAGAATACAAAAGTATATGTTTCGGCACAAGTATACGTTTCAGTACAACAAAAAGACAAATAAGTATAAATTAAATTTATATAATATATATATACAGATATCCTACCTAAAAAGGGGGAGAAAAAATTCGAGTGGCGAAAAAAAAAACAGGCAGAAACAAAGAAAGGAAAAGTGGAAAGGAAGTGATTTGAACAAAATTGTAAAAACCAAACAGGAAAAAGACATGGTAGCTAGGTAAAATTGTTTTTTTCCTAACAAATATATATTAATTGCATGTCCAAAGAAATATAGCTCTCAGCTGGAAAATATTAAATTCTTTCACCAAAAAAATATATTAACTGAGACTAACAAAATTGTACACCATTTATAGTAATTTTTTTAAGCCAATGACTTGTTCGAGTGATTGATTTCACCTTATGATTGAAGTTTTTTTAAAAATACACTCATTCGCTCACTTAACACAAAATGCAAGCCATGAAACAGCAAAACAATACTACATAATCTGACAGTCACAGCTATTGAAGCTTCCTTTATTGTTATTAATATTTTAGGCCTGGAATTCCAGAATAAAATCCTCAAGATTCTAGATAGCTGGAAAAATAATCCAAAACAGTTTAAATTAATAGTGATGAGCTATAGTGGGCTTATGTGAGCAGATTGTTTAATTTTCCTGAAATATGTGGGTTTATAGTTTATTGTTAAAAATCTTAGTAGGTAATTATCTTTTTCTTTAAACCATCACTAATAAACAACAGACAATATTAGAAACTTTTTCAGACAAAATTTTTTAAAAGCATGCATAATGTATAATATTATACCAAGCTAAAAAATATTTAATAGCTTTACAAAGATGATATATTTGTTATAATAAGGCTGTAAAGGTAATTTATTTAAAATTAAAGAGTATTTCTACAAGTTTTGTTTAATGCTATAAGATTTTCCTGTAAAATTTTTTAAAATTTTCATATCTTTATATTTGAAAAAAATAAAATAAAAATAACAACAATATGATAGGCCATTGTTAAAATGCTTATAGCTCACAAATTTTTAAAGGCATACATACACATGCCTTTTTCATGCAGGTCCCAAAAGTTGAAAACAAAAAGCTGTCTCATTATATATTCCAAAATAATTTGAGAAAACAACATGATGTCATATGCCCTTTCTTAATTTAATCAAGCGCATATACATGTCTTACAAATATATACATAGTGCTGCATTAAATAATGATTTTAAATATTCCTAATTTATGATTAAAAGTCTATATCCATTAGGCAAAGCATAATTAACTATTTAATGTTTGATATAAATACTACTAAGTAGCTGGTAGAACTAGACTACTTGCAGTTATTAATATTCTAGTGACCCTAAACTGACAAATGAATTCACAGCAGAAACCCTTTTTATTAAGGTACATTAACACTGTCGATTTTTGCCATAAAGCTCATATTTAGAACAACTTGGCACAACTCATTTGATGTAGAACTTTTGTTTATTTCTGACAATGTTAAATGTACATGCTACCCCAATGGTCAGCAACATGTGGCTGTATGTGACTCTTTAAATAAATAAATTCTGCTTTTTTCTTTTAATTATGATTTTACCAATAACCAACCATGCAAGGGAAAATTAAAAAAAATTTTTTTTAAAAATTCCACTTTTAAAAACAAGACATTGTTACTCTAAAATATTTTCTTGTCTTGTCCGCTTCAATAAAATTGAACTTAAAAAAAACTTGTTTCCCAAATTTTAATCTGGAAACTATAAAACAGGCTACTATTGATTTAAAACATTTGTAAACAAGTCAGCTGATATTAAATTCATCAAGTCAGCTGATATTAAATTCATCATGTTTTTTTTATGACCACTCAATTTTCTACTGGTTGCTATGCTACTAATATGTCAGTTGATGATATTCCATGCCCATTGATAAAAAAATGATGGATTTTTTTTTTTTTTTTATTGCCAACAGACACTAGGCCTATACCGCAACACTCCAGAAATCTGTGAAAATAAAACTTTGTTTTTTGTTGCAATATGGTCACTGAAATTGTGAAATTTGAGAATCAAAGTAACAAATCTGCAGTGTGACATATTTCTAAGACAAAGAAATCAAACACTCAAACATTACTAATTAAACATTTTCAACAGCCAAAGCATAAATAAAACTAACAAATAAATGTATATTTCAGCAAATAAGACATTGGTACTTTTAAAAGTAGGGCATCACAAGAACTTGATTAACCCTTGAACTATGGCATGCATCATTCTGTGGTGTGGAACTTTTCAGAGCTTTTTTGAGTGCCTTTTGAAATTGCATTAAATGACATAGAAATATTGATACAAGACCCAAATAATTATATATTTTTAGAAAGGTAAATGGATGGGGATAAATTTGGCCATATTGCACACTCAGTTAAAAATTTTTTGCTCAGTGTCCTTGACCTTGGAGTGCTCAAGAAAATAAAAATCGACAAAATGTCTTGCTTTCAAGTGCTCATAACATCATAAATTTTTATAGATACACTTAAAACATACAGCTAAATGTTGTAGCTAATTCATTCATCTTTCAGAAAATGTATAGTTTGCTAAGGTTTTGATTACAATTAAACCTCTGAAAGCAATTTTAGTAATTTTAGGTAATTTGTATAAGAAACTGAGACCACAGCTAAACCAAGTACAAAATCTCAGGCTAAATAGTTTTTATTGACTAGTAAACATTTAAAAAGGAACTGTGGAACTGTTTTGGGTTGTTAAACTATGCAATTTTATTAGTTCTGATCTATAATCTGTAGCTTCTGTGACTAAATTTCAGTCAGTCCTTGCCCAACCTCCATGCCTTGCTCAAAATCTAGCAGTAGCCTCAGTAGGCCTACTTCAGTATCACTAAGAATAGTATCAGATTCACAAAAAGAAGAATCTGAAGTGAGATGTCATGGGGAATGTTAAAATCATCATCAGTATCACTTAAATCCTCTCCTAAAAAGCTTTCAAAAATATTTATATCAGTTCTCGCACTGAAGGCCCCGGCCATAGCATCCGCCATTTTAGCTTTAAAAAAACGGCTATATAAAATTGCGGTTAAAAAGTACTTATTATTAATTTATCAAGAAACAGCTTGACCCGGAAGTTGATTTAATTATTAATAAAAGGAAGTGGCTATGATTTCGGTTAAATATTGGATTAGAAGTTGCCATCGGACCGTGTTTTTTATCTGACGATTTTTTAGGCCACCACAGCACAGAACGAGAATATCGGCCGATTTCGGCGGCCGACCACAGTTCGAGGGTTAATACAAATCAGCTGAATGTCACATTCATAATGAAAAGCAAAAACCAAACAAATAATATGTTCAAACAAAAGTTCTTCAACTTTAAGTTCAACATTCACTAAACTCTACCAAAAATAGCTCTGGGTTGCAATAATTAATTATTTTAATTACATTAATTAACTGAAACATAGTCATTATGTATTTTCTGGGCTAGTTATAAAGTCCAAACATTTTAAAATAATGGTTATAAAAAGATAATTCCATCACTTCTATGTTAACTTTTTTTTACATTAATCGTTATATTTTAGCAATATTTAATCTATCTTTGTTTAACTTTCTAGCTTTTAAGTGTAAGGAAAAGGAGGCTTAATCATAATCTTCATAGATTTGTTGTGATGTTTAAAAGCTACATTTACTTTCACCTGTCTTTACATTCAATGTCTGTGAATGTTATTACCACAGTTAATATAATGTTTGAAATAATGATGAACATTTAAAGCCTTCTTAATAAGTTAGTAAACTCAACAGTCATTTTAATAGGTATATCAAAATCTGAAAATCTGATGCACTCTTGATTGATCTGTTTTATCAACAGGACCAACAAAATGGCCAGCATAGCAATGCTTTCTTCTAAATTCATTTTAAAACAATCCAAATATTGTTGGTCGTGAATTTGATAATAATTTTGGAAATATTTTAAGGATTATAATTATACATATTTCTTTTTATGATAAGAAATATTTTACATTTATGAAAAAATTTAATCCTTTTTTAAAATAAGTTATTTCAGAAATTTTTTATGAATAAAAAAAAGGATGTGAAATCATGTAATATATTTTTCTTTTCATCAAGAAAATATTTCATATTTCTAAAAAAAAAAAGTTAAACTTAAATTCTTTTTAAGAATTATTTAATTTAAACATGGAGTAAATAATAAAATACTTAAGTTTTTTACCTTAGCTTTCCTTCTACATATTTAGGTTAGATGCATTAAATTAAAAGCTTTAAGAAAACAAAAAAATGGCTATGACTTAAGATAGCCAACACCATTGACTTCAGACACTGAACCATCCAGACTTACCCATCATGCTAGTTTATAAAAATATAATTTACATGACTACATTATCTTTCTGACTGTTTAAAATTTCTAAGAATTCTCTAGCCATGAAAAGCAGATGTACAATGTTTCCTCTCTTATTATAACTTCCACAACTATTGATAAACATAAAGCTATTTCAATTAGATTTTTAAGAATAATATCTCAATCATATTAATTAATTATTTTGTTAGTAACTGAGTTTTAAAACATTAAGTAAGTAAAAAATTTGTATTTGAGTTTAACACCTGGCTGTATTTTCATTGGGACTGTGACAAATCAAACAGACATAATAAATATCACATACATTTCTGGTCATTAATAACAACTGGGTATAAGTACTAAAAAGTTCTTCCTGATGGAAAAAGTATTTCCACTTCTTTAAGGAGTTGCTGGCCCTTTTCTCCAGCTTTGTGGCAATAATATTCTGCAGCCTGTCCAAGTCCAAGGTTGATGAGATAGCGTGCATATTCCAAATAAATTGCCTCATATAATGACTCTGTGACAATTTAAACAAAAATATTTTTTTTAAACTATTTAAAAATTGTTAGTTCATTGAAAATTAAAAAATAGACTGGAGGGGAGCAGGCATATTTTAAATATCTGAATATCAAGATAGGGGCACTACAGACAAGCAAAAGAACAACAATCATTTTAAATTATTTTAGGCAGAAGTATTGAAATGGGTACAGGCTGGAGCCTTAAAAATGTTACCGGTAATCTAAAAACAGACTTTTAAAAAAGGAAGACTCGTAGATCGAGGGTTAGATTACTGTGGTAAATTTGGTAGAGGTCAAGACAAAGATTAACATTTAATTGAAATAAAATTTTAATTCATCACTCAAATGTAAAAAAAAAAGGCACTAATTATTTATATATATTCTTACGTGTCTGATCCACAAGTTTTAATAAGTCAAACTGAATACATGCTTCCAGGAAGAGGGCAGCTTTATCAAAGTTTCTCATACTGTAGAGCACTTCAAGAACTTTATAGAAATGCCCCAAACTCAGCAGGACTAAAACAGATTTGCTCTGTCAAAAAAACAATTATTATTTCAAAACAATTTTTCTTCTAAGTTCAGCGGCATGTCACTCATTTCTTAATTTTTTCCTTAGAATAATCAATTAAATTTAAAACAGATTTGTTTTGTATTTTCAATAAAAGTATTATAATTTGATTTTACATCTGCTGATGTCCTATTTTTCAAATCCTTTAAAAAGTCTCCTTCAAAGTCTTCCTCATTTCTTAAGGAACAGAATAGAGTAACACAGCTATAGGGCCGTCCATTAATTACATTATTTAAATCAACAATTTTTAACCCCCAACAACTGTCAAACGTTCAGTGACACCCCCCCCCACCCACTAAGTAATTATGTCAACATTTGTATCCCCCCCCCTAACAAATAAGAAAATAAATAGTCCATTAATTACATTATTTAAATCAACAATTTTTACCCCCCAACAACTGTCAAACGTTCAGTGACACCCCCCCCCCACCCACTAAGTAATTATGTCAACATTTGTATCCCCCCCCCTAACAAATAAGAAAATAAATCAATTATAATATAAATAAATATATAAATAAATTTTACCTTGTGATAATCTATTTTAATAATACAAAATTTTAGGAAAAACATTTTATTACATCTTTAGCTTGTTAATCAACAAGTTAAAAAGTTTTTACACTGACATTTTATAATGCAGAATCAATGAAAAAGTTGTTAAAGACTAAATGTCATTGTTTGTGGAAGTAGAAATATGATTATTGTCAGTATGGCTGACAATTGTAGCATAATTTCTAGTCGCCAGCATCTTCCCGGTGAATAGCCAGGTGTTGCTCTATCATAACAATGGGCATGGTAGCTGATTTTCATCTTGCGGAACTGATGTAGTGATATACCAGAAAAGTCAACATCATCCTCATCTAACCATTTAGCACTTAAAATAAAAGCATTTTCAGCAATAATTGCCATAAGCTCTTTCTGTCTCCTGTCAGCTACTTGCATTAGTTGAATCCTTTTTTGTTAAGGAGCAGGTGATAATTTCTTATGCATTCTCTGTACTGTTAAACTTGCTATTTCAACATGACTTGTGGTGCAAAACAGATGTTACAGATTTTTCAAATCCGTTCAAGAAGCGATGCTATTATTGTTTCTAACTTTAATTTCCACTAATTCTCAAAATATATTCCTACTCTTTATCCAATACCATTTTTCTTGACCGCACATGACTCTTGCTATCAATACCATTTATCTTGACAACACATGACTCTTGAACCTTGTTCTTGTTCCGTACCTGCAACATGACCGCAAAATACCGCCCTAGTCATTTGCAACAAACAGAATCTACAGTCGAAGAGAGGCCAACTTTTGACTTCTCTTGCATTAACTAAATGTGCATACATTCTGATCAGCTATCAGCAGTGCACATATTAAATAAATCTTATATTGACAAAAATAAGTGTATATCAGGTATGCGTGCTTAGCATGCTCCTATATGGTAGCGGAGTGTGGACCACATTTACCAGTCAGGAGCGGAAACTCAACAGCTTCCATCAAAGATGTCTGCGTCGCATTTTTCGCATTCGTTGGCAGGACAGGGTGCCTAACGTGGAGGTCTTGGAACGTGCACACATGTTTAGCATATTCTCTTTTCTTATCAAGAGGGGACAAGACATATTGGACGATCGCGCCTGAGATTTATTGACGTTTGCAAACGAAGCATGAGGGAAGCCAATATTGAAACAAACGAATGGGAGTTCATTGCCGAACATCGCTCCAACTGGCGTACAGCAGTGTTTGGAGGAGTGAAAAAGGCAGAAGTTACTCGAAACGAGGCCCTCGAANTACTAATCGATATTTTTTACTGTTTCAGGATCGGCGCCCAGATCTGGTGGGATCCCATGGTGGGTTCGGTCATCTTGTCAGCTCGGGTTCGGGCTCGTTTTCGAGCGCCCCCCGACTCAGCCACACGCCCGCGGGGGCAGCGGACTTCCAGCCTCCATACTTCCCTCCTCCCTACCAACCCCAACAGCCTGTAGACTTTCACCATCACCAGGTTGACCCCTACAGTCATGTCAACCCGTTCCAGCAGACGGCCCAGCACTACAACCAGCTGCACCCCTCTTCTCCAGCCCCCCTTGTCAACAATTGTCAAACATTTCCAAACCCCCCTATTTTGTTGACATAATTAACGGACGACCCCTATGGGCTGTGGGGGTAGGTGCAAAGCTCTTTCTACAAAAGTCATTGTCATAATCTGAGTTCCGCACCTCCTTTGTTTTTTTAGTTGATCACAGAATGTGATCCTTGTTATACTTGATGGAATAAATTTAATAATTATTGGTCAGTATTCTTAGTCTCGACAGCTTCCTGTATTCTTAGTCTTGATGGCATACATAGTAGCTCGGGTGCCTATGCTGCCATGCAGATGGAGCTTTACTGTATAGAAATTTTATTTTATACAGAAAAAATTGAAAATAAATTATTAAATAATAATGAAGCCTTTCCATCTCTACTTAAAATATATATTTTAATGTCTTAATCATTAGAGATTGTACTGCCAAGGTAATACATTTATCAACATCTTTGAGAGTTCAATGATTCTGTATGAACTGAGGTGTGACATTGGAAACTCATTTTTTCTTTTCTTAATCTAGCTCATCAGGCCTACTTTACATGCTTCCTGTTCCAGGCTAATGGTTATCTTTTGCAGGCATTGATTTGTATTGGTCAACAGTAAAATTTCATTTAAAAAATCATTTTGAGCCTGATTTTTCCATAGATACCTTTTTCTGAAGCCCCATTGCCTTTTTTTAATGATTAAATCAAAAGTGAGCATGAATAGAATGAGGGATAGGATGCATTCTGTTTACATAATTACATATATCAAACTAATGGAAAGTAATGACTTTTAGTTTTAGTGAAAGTTCTTTGCCTTAATTAAAACAAAAATAAATTTAATGAAAATTTGCTAATTAAATATATCTTTACCCAGTACAACTATATAAAATGAACAATACACAGTTAATATTTAATACCACTATATTTTTTTGTTTTTATACACATAAAAGACACTTAATTACAACCTTTTGATTAACTTGTGTGCTACTCAAGTATTCAGCCCATCTTTTCATTACTTCTGTGCATTCAGTGGTCTCTAAACTTGCCTGAAATCATAAGACATAAGTAAATTAATTTTTTTCTCACTTAACATTTGGTGATACAAGCTGAAATTTTACCAAACTGCCCATAATTTTAAAATGACACATTCTTTCAATTTTAAATTCTAACCTTAATAACAGATGTTTAGATATTCTAAGCCTTCGAACAGATGTTAAGATATTATAACCCTTTTATTTTATTGGAATATCTTAACAACTATTCTAAGTCTCATAATATCTTTAACATAGTGAGAATTTTCCAAAGTATTTGAAGATTAACTTGAAAAATGTATTTGATTGGAATATCTTAACATCTGTTAAGAGAACAGATGTTCTTTTTTTTAAATTGATCTTTAAATACTTTGGAAACTTCTCAGTGTTAAAGATTTTAGCATGGAATGATCTCATTATTGTATGGCTTGTTAAATTGAATGCCCTCTCATTATTGTATGGCTGGTTAAATTGAATGCCCTTTCATTATTGTTTGGCTAGTTAAATTGAATGCCCTCACATTGTATAGATTAATGAATAGAATACCCTCACATTATTGTATATATTATTGAGAAAAACGCTACCTTGGCTAGCCACACTGCATGGTCCCATGATCCATAGGTCTGGAGGTAACGACAAGCATCAAGACCTTTATTTATAAGACACAAGAGCTGGACACCCTCTAAAGAGTTAAAGATCACAAAATAATAAATGTTTTTCAATTGAAAATATAAAGATTTTATTATTCTTACTTGTAGAAAAGCAACAACCAGCCATTAAATGAACAACAAAGCAGAACTAATAATTAGTATTATGGGAAAGTGAAAATTGAGTTTGCAAATGTCTGCTCTATTTAAATGCTACACACAGGTGCCAAACTAGTGATTTTATGGTACATAAACATCATGTCAGAGTATTATAATTAAAGCCTTCCAACCCCAAGTGCATGATTCCCTCAAAAAGTAGCACTTGCAATCAGTAAAATATCCTAATCAACACCAGGCACAGAAACACTGCAAATCCCCTCTACATGCATAGGAGCCAAAATGATCAATAAATTAATCGTGGGCCCTTAATATATAGAAAAATAAATAGAAGAAGAAAAAGTTTGAGTCTAAAAATTGTCCTTAATAATTTTATAAATTTATAAAATTTACACCATTTTAATGTGGTCATGAGCAGAATAAAAATCATTGTCTATTTTTCAAACAAAATCATATTTTGAAAATTTACTACAGTTATTATTACAACATAGCCCCATGTGTTAAGGGAAAAGGGTCGGCTAAACAGTCTTAGTATGATTAGCAAGTCAGGGAGGTGCTGATAAGTAGTTTACACAATGGCACCTAACATGTCAGGGCTACAGTATCTTTATCAAAAACTCATTTTAATAATGAAACAAAATCTATACAGAATTATAGCAGCACTTAGTTTACATTAGTAAATTGGAAACTTTAAAAATTCCTTATTAATGCTAATACAAAAGAAAATGAAAAGCCATTAAGATTTTCTTTTAAATTAATATATTACCTGTGAGACGACCACTTGCAATTAGGTTTGTAGCCACCAATTTGATAGTACTTTGAGATGCACCTGAAGATCTTATACTGGCGACAAGACAAGCTCTGACAAGGCAAATTTAAGATAGTTATTAATTAAAACTAGTGATCCTGGTTTTAAAAGATCAATACTCTTAAAATAAAACCCCTAATATAGAAGGTTTTTAATAACAGAGGAAAATAATATTTCTGAACAAGGTCATTTTATAGTACTATTAATTCATTATCTTTATGGGTCAAGCTAATCGCTCTTCAAAGTCCTAGCCAATAATTTATAATAGAGCCTCACTTGCCGCGATAAAGAAAATATTCTGTGATGTGAAAAGTTTCTCTATGAGCAAGGTTTCTTAAATAAGGCTATGTCAAAGTCGTGTTAGTGGAGCAGTTAGGTGATCTCATGGCCTTATTGTTTAATGTCAAATTAAACCAAACTACTACAAATTTTATGAAGTTAACAATCACACCCAATTGCTTTATAGCCCCTTATCATCCTGTCCCTAAACACTCTTACAAATGAAAAGGTTTGAGCAGGTCCGCCAGCCCCACATTAGGTAGATTAGGTGCAGTTATAATTCCTATTATAAGTAACCTATTTGTTATTTCTATAAGTTGTAACCTACTTAAGACAATCAATGTAGTAATTGTCAGAATCTGATTCAGTTTCTAATAACAACTGCACAGCTCTGTCACTCTGACCAAGCTGTACGTAGCTGTCTGCACATTTCTGAGTGTGATCCATTGTTGCACGTTTACTATCTTGAAGATGTACCCGGTCCAGCTGGTATTTCTGTCATACAACAAATATACCACAATACATCTCAATGAAACAAACGAACCCTAAAGAATTACATCAACAGTAAAATGATTTCTGATTTCTTATTCAGGGATGAAATTACTTATTAATTTATGACAATTTGTTTTTAATATCACAGCTCTGGCCAGTAGTCACAAGTGTTAAATAAGGTAAATTGGTATGAAAAATATTACATGACCATAAGTACACACAAAAAAAAATTAACTAATTATAAAAAGTGTTGTACTGCGATAAAGCTTTAAAATAGATTAATTAGACATGAACAATTTGTGTCAATATAACAATGTAAGTTAAGCTTTAATAATAATTTTACATAATAAACAAGTATACGTTTCGGCACATACCTTCATCAGTACAACAACAAAAAAAACAATTAAATAAGTATAACTTAAAGTTACATAGTATATATTTATACATATATCCTACCTAAAAAAAAGGGAGATAAAATAGGAGTGGGGGGAAAAAATGTTTGACAGAACTGGTGTTACAGCTTAACTCATTTGAATTTAATGGCAAATTTTTTTATCAGATCAGTGGCGTTACCATGGGAACAAAAATGGGACCAAGTTATGCATGTCTATTTATGGGCCATTTGGAACATCTTTGGAGAGAACACAACATAGGTCCTTTCCCAGAATACTACAGAAGATACATAGATGACTGCATAGGGATTACCAATATGGACATAACACAACTAGAAAGTTTTATTGGACATTTTCATCTAACAATCGAATTCAATTCAACGATCCATAAAAGTACTGTCAATTTTTTGGACTTAAAATTAACCTTAAAGAGAACATCATATCTACATCCATTTTCTATAAGAAAACAGAGAGTCACAGTTTCTTACTATATTCATCATCCCATCCTCAATCATGCAAAAACTCCATCCCTTTTTCTCAGTGGCTGAGAATGAGAAGACTCTGTAGCAATGATGAGGAATTTAGGGAAAGGACTGCAGAAATGTTGGATTTTTTCCGACGCAGGTTATCCTGAACAAATTTTAAAAGCAGCTGTCACTCCAGTTAAAGGTATGACTAGACAGGATTCTTTTAAAGCCACTCATTCTGACAGTAGGGGATAGGTCTAAATGTATTCTTACTTTTCATCCCCATAACCTTAAAGCTCGTTTTCTGGTTCTGAAAAACCGCTCAATTCTTATGGCAGACCCGATCACCAATGAGATTTTCAGAAAACCTACTCTTTTCGCTTTCCAGAGGGACAAGAGCCTTAGGGACATGCTAGTTAGAAGCCACCTACCTGCTATCAAAGCACATAAAGGCACCTAAAGTTGTAACCGTAGCCGTTGCAAAACATGTCCCTACATGATTGAAGTTGATAAGATCACTTTCCCTCTAGAAATATTCAGAATAAAAGATGGCTTTACCTGCACAAGTTGCAACGTGATTTACACCATCCTTTGTAAAATGTGCGGTAAATTATACGTAGGAGAGACAGGTCGTCGCCTCGGAGACTGGTTTAGAGAACACCTCTACTACATAAATAAACAGGCACTCTGTCCAGTTTCCAAACATTTCAATAGCACTAACCATGATGGAATTTTAGACATCGCAGTTACTGGTATACTATATACTAGTAACACATAGGATAGAATCTATATGAAGAATAAATTGATAACAAGATTTGGTACGTTGACTCCCTACGGGATAAACCAAATCCACAATTTTACGTAACTGCCATTTCTTTTTCCTGTTTCCCTTTTTACATTTTACTCTAAGTCACTTCCTTTCCATTCTTCTTTACTATGTTTCTGTCTGTTTTTTTCGCCCACTCCTATTTTTTCTCCCCCTTTTTTAGGTAGAATATATGTATATATATCTATTTTGTATATTATTTAATTTATACTTATTTAATTGTCTTTTGTTGTTGTACTGATGAAGGCATGTGCCGAAACGAATACTTGTTTATTATGTAAAATTATTATTAAAGCTTAACTTATATTGTTATATTGACACAAATTGTTCGTGTCTAATTAATCTACAAAAAAAAACCCAAGAAAACCAAGTGTTATGTAGGACGTGTTTACTTCACACTTTCCCCGTGCCCTGAACTCTGTTTGGCCCCAAATTAGACCGCGTTAGTTTGGGCGTGGCCTATTTCTTTTTATCTTTTTTTACCACAAAACAATCTATCACCTGTTTGTCTTCACCTGTTTGTCTTGACTCGAATGTGCTACAAAATTGTAGTAAATTATAGAAATGTGTAGAAGATTCAAGTCACGACTACAATGTATATTCTGCCCCCGAATCTTCTTAGAAACAGGCGATACCCATATATATAAAACCGGGGAATTGAAAGAAGAGAAGAGATTGATAGAGATATTTTTCACTTCACGAGACAAGTGTATTATTCTGTGTGTACTCATATGTGTTTATTCGCATTCATCATTGTACATTATTGATTGACACATTGTACTAACTGTGTACCGGTACAAGACATCCCATACTCTGTAAGTTGATGATTATAATTATATTTTTTTGTTTTGTAATTATATTAATACTTAAATAAATCTTATTAATTGTAATTAGTACTGTTTTGAGTGTCGTATTTTTGCTACTGTATTTCTCTATGGTATCGTCCTTTGTTAGGCACTGTTTAGAACGAGCCAATAACTTAAACTAAGAGATTAATTTCTCACTAAAGAAGGCAGTGCGTAACACCAAGAAAACCCATTAGATAATCATTTTACATCCACTTAAAATTACATCCATTTTCTCTTGAATTGTATTTCAAAAACATCTTTGTCTTTGTGCTTTAAGCTTACATCTAACAACAATATTTATCCCCTAAACCTTATTTTTAACTTCAGTGTTGAATAAGGGACATTTTAAAAAAAAATTATTATACTGTCCATTATTAACTTCAGTCTGTAAATCCAGTAACACGATTTTATTGTCCACCATTTTTTCATTCTTTTTAGATTAAATTTATTTCTTCTAAAGTATCCATATTTGTTTTTTAAATGTATATTCCTTACACACTTATGCTTTTCTGTTGCATAATTGAGTTAGCAAACTAAATAAAGGCTATGCTATGCTTAACTTAGGTTTTTAATTTGATATAAAATAAAGGTGTTGCTGTAAATAATATTAAAAGTTCATCATAGCTAAAATAAAGTTATCTGATTTTAATTTAGTTGAATTGATAGCAAGCATAAAATTTGATAAAGTTTAATATTTAGCTGGGGTAACTAAATAACTGTTTGAAACTGGAGTAAGGCATTTACTAATGTGCCGCAGGACCACACAAACAAAAAAACAAAATGTTGACCATATCAATGCCCACTATAAGGTTTTCAATACACTACCTTAAAACTTTGGTTGTCACACAATGTGTCATAACACCTCTCCAAAGGCTGGTCTCTGAATAATGCTGATTGAATTTTCTGAATATCAAAGTCCTCATCTAAAATCACAAGATCACGTGTTTCTTTGTATGCTGGTGTAGGGGGGATAAATAGCTCACCTACAGCTTCCTGTGTATTATCTCCCTGAAGTGTACATTTTTTACAATGGATTAAACACAATTCTCAAACAATTAAAAAAAAATTTTTTTAATCATTTTGGGCAGATATTTTAATAACTTATATGAGCTTTTAAAACAGTCTGTAATATTCTATTAGTCTTACAAAATCAGGTAAAATATAAAATTTATATAAATTTATTTTATTTTAGTAATATTCCTATTAAGCAGGTACATTACCTTAACTGGTCCTTGAGCTCGGAAATACCGCAAGTAATGTAAAGCCACTGTCCAGAAGTGAACTTCAGATTCATCTCCAAATAGTCTAAAAAGAACAAGTGACTATAGTTTAAAACATTTACAAAATAATAATTAAAAAATATAACATAAAGAAATATTTTAAATGCCTAAGAAAATCAAATAAAAAAATATAAACAAAGATGTTGATTATCACAGACCTGGAATTTCCAAAATAGTACAATATCATCTCAAAATAGTACTATACCATATCATAATAGAAAATAAATTAAAAAATATACTGTATGTTTATTTATTTACTATTATGATATGGTATTGTAAAGCATACAGGCGCACCACTCTACTGAGACAGCCCTGTTGCGCGTCGTAAATGACCTTCTGTCATCTTGAGGTGGGGCAAGGTATCCCTTTTGTCATTACTTGATCTATCTGCAGCATTTGATACGCTTGACCATGGCATACTTCTCCAGCATCTGCAAAAAACATTCGGTTTTACCGATACCGTCACAGGGCCCTGTCCTAGGCCTGGTGCTTTTCATTATGTACGTTCAGCCACTGGGTGCAGTGACCAAGCAGTTTGACATGCTATATCACATGTTAGCGGATGATACCTAACTTCAGCAGTCCATGATCCCCTCTCAGTTCCCTCAGCTTCTCTCAGGCAGCGCTGATTTGGTGTACGGAGTTCCACAGGGGTCCGTGTTAGGCCCGATTCTATTCATATTGTATACCAGACCACTGCTCCTCTTGCTTGGGAGGCATGCTGTTGAGAGCCAGTCATTTGCAGATGACACGCAGCTATACAAGCATACCCATCCTTCTCTTGTTGAATCCGCTGTCCAGACTTTGTGGGGGTGCATTGATGATGTCAAGTCATGGATGACACTCAGCAAGTTGAAGCTTAATGATGACAAAACAGAAGCACTCCTCATCCACAATCACACATCATCCTCTACCTCAACTCTTCCTACCTCATTTCAAGTAGGTAACTCTGACGTACGGTTTACACACTCTGCTAGGAATCTTGGTTATATTCTTTCTAACAACATGTCTCTCGATAAACACATATCTCACATTTGTCGTTCAGCATAAACCACTATCCGTCAGATCAGCTCCATATGCCACTACCTCACAGTTAGCGCTACAAAAACTCTAGTCTGTGCTCTTGTTCTCCCGTCTTGACTATTGCAACTCTCTTCTGTCAGGTTCACCAAAACACTGCAGAAAAACTGCAGAAAGTTCAAAACTCAGCTGCTAGACTAGTTTTAAAGGCAAAAAAATGTGATCACGTCACTCCACTACTCCATTCCCTTCATTGGCTACCTATACAGGCACGCATCGACTACATGTTGTCTGTTCTCTGTCACAACTTTTTCTTAAATTCCTGCCCTTCCTATTTAACCGAACTTCTTTCTGTCTATTCACCCCTTCGACAGCTTCGCTCCTCTGCAGGCACGCGTATTCTGTCCGTTCCCAAGACACACACTAAAACATATGGTGAACAATCTTTCTCTTTCTGCGCCCCCAAACAATGGAATTCTTTGCCCCTTCACATACGTAATATACCAACCACCCAGGCCTTCAAAACTGCACTCAAAACATATCTTTTTAAATTATACTACCCTGACTGATTCCCCTCCTCTGACCGATAAACGATCTTGCTGGCTGCCGTCCATGGTTTGCCTTGTAAAAGTTATGTGGTGGGGTGGGTGAATATACATTGCTGTTCTTTATTTCAAAAATGTATTTTATTTTTACGTCATGATTATGTCTCTTTTGATAAAAATTTTATGTACAGCGCGGTGAGCCCAGCCCTAGGCTGGGGTACCGGCTATATACGACCTCTTATTATTATTATTATTATAACGCAGAAGACAGTCAAGTCAGTTAAGCACTGGATGAACATAAACAAACTCAAATTGAACGATGAAAAGACTGAGCTGATCCCCATTGCTACCGTTCAAAAGCTAAAATCTGTAAATAACACATCATCCCTTACTCTCTCAGGTATACACATTGAGTTTGCTCAAATAGTGTGAAACTTGGGTGTCTACTTGGATAGAACACTACCAGGCAAAATCACATTAACATGCTTTGCAAGGCAATTTTTCTAGAGCTGCGCAGAATTAGTCAAATCAGACCTTTCTTAACGTTTGATGCAACAAAGAGACTGATGTCTACATTCGATCTATCACGCATGGACTACTGCAAGGCTCTCATGGTGGGTCTTCTAGCTACACTCCTGGATAAAAATCAAAAAGCACAGAATAATGCGGCTCGCATTGTTCTTCGCAAATGCAAATTTGACCATATTAAAACACTTCTGAGAGAGTTGCATTGGCTGCCAGGCCGCGCTCGCATAGAGTACAAAATTGCAACTTTGTGCTACCGCTGCTTGCATGAACTGGCACCCTCCTATCTCAAAGCGCTCATGACGACTTATGTACCTACTAGACAACTCGACTCATCTGACAGTGGCAAACTCTCGATACCACTTGTTCGCCTGGAGACTTACGGAAGGTGCACTTTCACATTTGCTGGCCCAACAATTTGGAACACACTTCCTGATGCTCTCAGAAACAGCCAGACACTGGAGTCTTTCAAAACTGAATTGAAAACACATCTATTTCGCAAACACCTGCTGGGGTGAGGTTGTCTACCATCTTTTCCAGCTGGCTATTGTCTCCTAGACGTAAATTGGCCTTTGTTGTTTATGTTTGCAACAGATGAAAGACTTAGAATGGGTATTCTCGTATGTAGTTTTTGTAATGTTGCATTTTGTCTTTCAATGTGGTATAATATAGATTTTTTAATATCTCTTTTAATATGGTTGAGTTTGTACCACGTTTCGAGCCTTTGGGGATGAAGCGTGATTTTCAAATAAACTTTATTATTATTATTATTTTTGGATGGTATAGTAAGATTATACTGTAAGTATACAGTAACTACTTGTATTACTTTTTGCGACATATCGAGTTAAACTGATGTAAAAAAAAATGTTCCCTTTCAAAAGTAGATGAATGGTATTATAATCTTAAAAACTACAACAAGCTGTATGGAAAAGGGAAGAGGAGGAGTACTGGAACAAAAAGTAAGGTATTAAATTCAAACAGCTGCTTTGTAATTTCTAAAAATATATTTTAATTTTTTTTAATGCTGCTTAATAGATCTTATAAAAAATGTCAAAATCTAAGGTTGCTGTGCATATCAGTTGAGAATGCATTCAAACAACAAAAAATCCAGTTATCTCAGTTTTCACAATGATAGAAGTTCAGCTTAACAAAATTACATCATAAAGCCCAGAAGCAAACAAAGCAGAATGTTAACAAAATTTTTCACTAGGGCGACTACGCTAAATATTGCTGTTGCAATATCTAGTCATTTCAATGTGAAAAAACAAAGTAACAATATGACGGTCATCAGCATCTTTATGAAACTTAGCCGTCTTATTTTAATAGCCTTGTAAAATATTTAGACGCCCCCCCCCCCCCACCCGGCGTAACCTTTTAAAAAATCTTATCTCTTAAAATCATAGTTAAAAAAACAAAGTAACAATAGGACGGTCATCAGCATCTTTATGAAACTTAGCCGTCTTATTTTAATAGCCTTGTAAAATATTTAGACGCCCCCCCCCCCCACCCGGCGTAACCTTTTAAAAAATCTTATCTCTTAAAATCATAGTTCTGACAGGCATACAATCATAAAAGAGATTTCAAAATCGTAATGGTTACCATCATAATTGATCGTTATAACTTATTCTAACCTGGCAACAAGTAGACAGCGATGAGCTGTTCCAAACTTTGCATGTGGTAGATAATCTGTCAGCTCTCTGATGACAATACATTAATGGTTGTGTTATATGTATGTATAAATTGATGGATATTTAAATTATTCAGCATTGGAGATTTAGCCATTTTAAGATGCACAGGATCTGTTAAGTGTTGGACTATGGTTTAAAAGTAAATGAGGAAACATGTTCGTATATTGGGGTGGCACAATAAAGGTTATTTATGCACCTCTATGAACTCATAGAAGTCATGCAACATTAATATTATAATTAATAGATTTCAGTTGAACAGGAAATATTTTGATTACTGGTCAATATTAAATACTGTTACCCTAATCTACCTAAAAATTGTAATTGTTAATTAAGGATAAAAAAGAAAAAGTTATAGTCTCATCTATTTTGTTAACCCAATTTTGCATAGCATTGTGCTGTTATCTCCCCTTCCTCCTCTTGTTGTTTGTCTTACTGGCTACACTAATTAATTTGTCTTCGTTTAGCAGGCAATGGTATAAGCACAGTTTCTCTTGAACCTATTAGAGGGTTTTAAATAGAAATAGATACATCTGCCTTACTCTTCCGGACTTAAGGTAAGATTCTAGAAAGGTCTCCTCTTTAGACTATAAATAAGACAATAAACAATGCCTAGTCGACATATCAGAGATATAATTGACCTACAAATATTACAAGATTTTCCCCGAGTGTGTGTGTGGATTGATATCTTATCTTATTTACATGGTGTATGTTAATAGATTTTTTATTTCTATATATTTGATTTTGTACTTTGAAATCAAATATGTTAGTATAAATAAATAGTTACTTGTAATTAGCCCTATCTTTCAGTTCTCTATTTGATTTAATTAATGATATTTTCCTTTCTTTTTTTTTTGCACTGTTTGATAACAGTTTTACATTTTAAAGCAACAGATTAAACTAGCCATTCAGATTTAGTCTGTCCCTTTACAAATACTTACACCACCCCCCAATCCTATGTTCCTTTTTTTCTGCAGGCAGAGAAGAAAGAGTTCTCTAAAATCATCCCCTTTAAAAGCACTTACTTTTCAATCAGTTGTAATTGTGCATTGGCCCGTTTTTGTGAAGGCCTGTCATGATCCAACACACCTGTTACAGAGAGTGTATATTTTTCTCTCCAAGGCTGATGCTGAAGTAAACACTTGATCAATTGAGACAGGCGTGCAGGTAGCAAATGTGGACTGAACATTGGCTCTGAGAAGACAATAGATATTTACCTAAATCTTTAGTATTCTTTGTGAAGTGGTGGCCTCCTAAATTTCCAGGAACCATTTCTATAAAGACATGTAATCTTTAGCAACATATTTTGCTTATTCTTTTCAATTTTTGGATATGCCAACAATTGGCTCGCTAAGCTTTTGTAATTTTAAGAACAAGTTTGTACAAATCTGTAGGAAGGAAAAACTGCTTGTGATCCTCCAGAAAACATAAGGTATATTAAACAAAGAATATTAATATGTACAGGAATATGTATTCACTATTGGCTAATGCAAGGTTTTCAACAAATGAAAAAGTTTAGTTCTTCATTAAGAGCAAGTCAATCTTTCAAATTAAGTTGCTTCTTTATCAAGTTTTTTTTATTAGTCCACTCAGTGCTATAATTAACCTGTAACGTTGAAACATTATTTGACTTGTTCTTACAGTGTAAGGAATCCTTGTACACAAGTTCCCTTAATATCCATTCAGAAATATTATTTCTCACTCTCACCCAACTCGTTCTTAAAAGATTTTAAGAGACATTGTCTACAAAATATAGTAATTAAGCCAATATACAAAAAACAAAAAAGAAATGTACCTGGAAGGTCCCAGTTTTCTACACTAGAAGTTGCTGACTTCATACTTATATCACAGATGTGTACAGAGCTGTGAGATGTCACAAGTGCTGGTCTGTCCGAGCCTGCCCAGTCAATGTCTACAACTTTACTGATATCTTTTGGGCTCTTGAGTGAATGCAGGATGCTGGACTAAAATTAAGTTTTAAGAACAGGCTTTAACATAGTCTTTTCAATTATTTTCATTGAGAATAGGGCTTATCATTTGAGAATGATTATTAAACTTTATTTTAATTTATTCTAAAAACTGACTAATAATATCTTTTCTACATTTAAAAAAAAATTCAAATTAACAAATTAAAAATTTTAAAATGTTTGCTTTAAGTAAACCTATAATAAAAGTAAATATATTTTTAGTTAGAAGTCATATCCAACCTTCTCAATAATTTCAATTATTTATTTTCTCTAAAGAACTGAATCAAGAATTTAAAATAATTATTAAATACTCTCTTACTAGTGGTGCTCAATTTCTTTCCATTTCTATTCTCATTTTTTGTAGTTTAAATATTAATTTTACATGCACTCTTTATATTCCTTGAATTTTTCATATTTTTATTGAGATTTCTAGTAACCCTTACAAAAGAGTCAATAACTTGAGTCCATGTCTAAAATTCATGATGTTATATAATTTATATTAGTGGGAAAATGCATGAGGTTTCTAAAAATGTTTGTTTCAAAACATGTAGTGTCAAAAATTAGAAGTTGTGAAAACAATTGTGCTTAACTTAAAATATGAAAATGTGTAAAAAAAAATTGGTGATTAGATGCACAGAAGGTAAAAAAAACATACCACTTGAAATTATTTAATAAAATTTGCTGATTCAGAAATAAAATTCATTTTGTATGTCATATGCATAATTTAGAATATTTCATGAGCATTTGACCAAAATATAAAATATTTTGTAAAATGTGTCAAAAAGGGGAAATAATTATTTTTTTTAAAATTACCACTCCTCCACAAAGTATTCACAAAAATTACAGTTACAGATTATTGTTATTTCACCTTTTTAAAATTATTTACACATTTAAAAAAAATAATAAACTTCATAGTACTGGTACTCTGACAGTGTTTTTTTTTTTTTTTTTTTAAACAAAGATAAGTTTCAAATGTGCTACTTTTGATTTAGGATTTTTTTTCTTTGCATTCTTAATTTATATCACTTTGTAGAATTTTTTTTTAATTTTGTGTTTTATTTTTTTTTTTTTTTTTTTAAACAAAGATAAGTTTCAAATGTGCTACTTTTGATTTAGGATTTTTTTTCTTTGCATTCTTAATTTATATCACATTGTAGAATTTCTTTTTAAATCTGTGCTTTCAGGAACTATTGGATGTATATGTTACCGCCAATGTGTGAAATGCAGGCATTGTATAGATTATTTAGGCATTATATAGAATGCCTGGCAGTTTGAGGCAAAGTATGAAATTCTTTATTTTCATGATTAAGCAACATACTTTGCCTAAGCATTTTACACATTGACTAGGAATTATATATAATGACAAATATATTTCAGGCAAAGTTTCAAAAGAGCGTAAAGAAAATGTTTTTTATTGCAAAAACATATTTGAAAACGAAAGATAACAATGAAACCGGAAATCAAAGGTGGCATTGAGCTACTTGTTACAGCAAGTAAGGCGGGAGACGCATTTTGAATAGCACTTAATTTTCTTTTTCAAACAAAGACACCTGTATGTTTTGGCACCTGCTTGCACATACACGTCACGAATCCTTGACCACTTCCTGTTGACTGAGAGATAGCAGCAGATCGGAGAGATATTTCATGGGCAAGGACGTCTTCAACTCTCAATAAGTTCTTTGGACATACATCGAACTGTGATCTCGAATACAATTTCAAGATTCCTTGTGCAATTCCAAGTCGGTAAAAGCGGTCTTCTATCTCTGTCATAACAACTGCCAACAGATTGCGCGAGTCACCCCGTCCCTTGCAAGTAATAGGAACTCGCACAGTGGCTCCTAAAGGTGCAGGAGGGAATTTTTTGTCAGAGTTGATTTTTATTCTTTTGGCCTGGATTTCAAGGTTCGATTTAGATTCTTTTCTAGCCTCTACAGCTCTCTTCATATTGAAACACAAACTGCACAAAATACCAACACCATAAATTTCTATTTCTTCGTCTCCATCGTCTTTAGCAGCATGCCCACAGATAACATGAACATTACGGTGACAGTTTCAGCATGTATGGGCATCGCTGATTTCTTATAAGCAGACACAACAAACAGAAGTGGAAGGCTCTTCGGTAACCATGGTGTCGCAATCTTTTTTGTCTCCTACATTATTGGTTGCATTCTCTTCAGTATGCTGTGTAGTAGGCTCTGTATCTTGCATATGACGATTTGCTTCTTTCTGCTATGTTGTTTTTACCCTTTCTATTATTTTTTCGAGTTCTTCCTCAGTCTGTATGTCTTGCAAAACGTCAGGGGGTAGGGAAGACGTTGCGAGGCCCACTTTAGCTTTACAGCCCAACTGAGCTTCATAAGGCATTCTCTTAATCCCAGAATGAAAGGCCCTGTTCTTCATAAGTTGGATGAATCGTAATCCCTCAGCTCAGTGGTCAGTTTTTTCATCTTGCATCCAAGCACATAGCATGTTTTTGATGTCTTGATTAGCTCTTTCGACACTGCCCTGGCTTTGTGAGTGGCACAGTTTACCATGGACGATCTTCAACTTGGGCCAGTACTCCTTTAGGCTGTTCACCACATTGTTGGTAAATTCCCGGCCATTAATCGAACTGTAAAATTGATGGAGCTCCAAGCAACGAAATATTTCCACTAGTATGTAGGCCACCTCTTCCGCCCTTTTTGGTGTTAGAGCCCTCAGAACCACAAACTTTGTGAGATGATCTTGGTACACCATTATAAATTTATATCCCCTGTCAGGATGGGACTGAAAATCGATAAGATTGACCGGGCCATGGGAGTTAGATCAGAAAAAATCATAGGCTTCACCACAACACCCTTTTTAACACCTTTTTGTTTCTTTTGGCACGGCTCACAAAGGTGAAGGTAAAGTTCAATTTTCATTACGTGTAATGTTATTATACTTGTGCGAAAGTTCTCCATGTCCCACGGCCAAATGAGCCTCGTGAAGTATGTCAAATAATTCAGACTCTGTGACATAGAACACAATAGCTCTGTCACCTTTTTTAACAGGATACATCAATTTACTTTTGTTCTCTACCGCCATTACATCATAGCGTTTCAGCAGCAAATAGTCTCGTGGTTTCTTCTGAGTTGTCATCCGAGCCATTTTCACATCATCCACCATTTTTTGGTATCTAGTTTCTGTTAGAGAAACGCAGTTTTTTAGCAGTATTGGCTCGTAATCGAGAAAGTTCATTGAAGAACCCCCGTAGCATGTAAACATACCGTGATTCCTGATCTGAAGCTACAATCTGATCTTCCAACATCTCAGCAGCCATGTTGAAACAATATGGGTAGCGTCTTTGGCGGGAGCACGAAGCACGTGTGTCGTGATTGCAACGCCACCACCATGCAAAGAATCAAACATGAATGGTGGGGTATTCTAAACATTGCCGGGTCGCTCTTCGGCATTGTATAGAATGCCTAGGAAATGTGTGAAATATAAATCATTTCATACTTCGCCTACCATTTTCAGGCATTCTATATAATTCCTAGGCATTCTATATAATTCCTAGGCATTCTATATAATTCCTAGGCATTCTATATAACGCTGGATTTCACATATTGCCGGTAACATATATATTATATTGTATTTTGTGTTATTTACATTTAAGTTAAGGCACTCAGAACATCATAAGTTTTAGTAAATCCTCTAATGCTTAAATAATTTCCTCGTGAAGTCAATTGAGAGTTAAAAGTTAGGTAGCTTTAGTTCATCTATATCAAAATTTTCTTTTCAACAATCCTGAAAAGATTATAGCTGGCAAAATCAACAAAATGGAAAAAAGGGTTAGTCCAGTGTTTTACTTAGGGTGAAATATCCATTCATCAATTGGTCAACAGCACACATGAATGAGTTATATGATTTCAAAATCTGATTTGACAATATTTTATTTTCACACTAATAATTGCCTAAATATCCCATCAGTTTTGGTTCTGTTCACAAATGAAAATCCAGTTGTCATATTATTTAAAATAATTGAGGCTATTTTATTTTCTCTTCACTGAGCATTATTTCTTATCCACCACATATCACATTGCTTTGTTGTTTTTTTTCATTTTCTTCTGCTAAAACCATACAACAAAATTTACTTCCAACAGTTTGACCTCAATTCTCTGTTTTAATGATAAAACCTTTGAAGAATGTCATTAATTTGAATAAATCTGTTTTTAAAAATATGGCATTAGCCTAAAAGTCAGGCAGTAATGGTAGATTGTTGAAGTTGATGAGTATTTTTATACTAATGTAAGCCTGGCTCTCTGGCTGGGAGAAACATAGGAGTGGGAACCAGTAGCCGAGTGGGTCATCAACTTAAACATCATAATGAGTTTACCCTGTCAATGAAAAAGAAAAACTAATATTATAGACCAATATGCTACTTTTAGGAATGAAATAAATACAAAATGTATACTTCACTTAAAATTCCAGTTTTTAATACTTCCAATACTGTCTAAAAACCAATATGTCTATAAAATTTATTGTTAGATAATTAAATTTATATGACAAACACAGATTTCAAATTTCATGTCCTTTAGAATGAAATATATCAAAATAAGCAGTGCCAAAAGCATTGTTTACATTCCTTAGCAAAAGTTTCTAAGAATAACGACTTCTCAAAATATCTATGTAATAAAATATTCACATATTTTAAAATGATTTTATTTACGTAGATTCAGTTTAAAATGGCTAGTAAATTTCTCAAATTGCTTAAAAACATAAAATTTAACCGATAAAATAACAATAATAAATTTTTTTTAAAGAGTAGATTGACGAGACACTCGATTACTTACCTTCTAGTATAACAACTATATTGGCCTCAAAAGAAGATTCTCATTAAAATATGAATCAAAATCACTTGATTCATGTTCCCAACTATCTTCCCCGAAAGATTCAGATAAAAGTTGATCGATATTTTCATCAGTATTATTCATTATTCAAGATTTTATGCTTCCGAGTCGACAAGCGTCTTACACAATCTCAAACTTGCAAAAAACATCAAAATTATTTAAAATATTTTAATTTGATTTTTTTATAAATTTTTCTTCAAATTTTACGATAACATTGAGTTTATTAAAAAAATATTAAAAGAAAATTTATGAGCGAACATAACCTGTGTACATTGATATACGCTCTCTAGAGAAAAGGAATGATTTAGTTAACAAGACTTAATTCTTTTACTTTGACAGTATGCACCACAGAATTCTGAGGGGCATTTTTTAGTTTTGAACAACTTAACTTCTGTTATAATAGTGCACCTTTGTGTCTACACTTTGTCTGAGAGAGCTACATTGTGATCTCGGAACACTTAAGTTTCAATTTTAAATAATTTGTTATTTCTTGTTTTGTATTGTCATGTGAAGACATTTATCCGAAACGCCCTTTTAATTACTTATGTTTTTTTTTTAAGCCTAAACATGTCTTGTTCCACTATTTATATGTTAAACTACAAAATAGTAATTAAAGTTATGATACGAACCTTCCCCTCTGAGCCTATATCCCATATCAGAACACCATCATTGTGCAGTGTAAAAAACTTCATATTGTCTCGACCTGGTGCAAAGCGTATTTTCTTGATCCACCCTCGATTTGTTGGGGTAGTTCTGAATAAATTAACAAACCAAAAAGTATTTTTAGGGAATTATAAAATTCACAGAATATTATTACCTAAATCATTTTTATTTCTCAACCATGTTAGGATGTTCTGTAGTTTGAATTGTTGCTGATACTGTAACTGATTTAGGGTAAGTTTATTACATAATTATTAAAATAATAAACTAATATTAGTATCTACTTATGCATATTGAATCTTAAAATTTAAACTATAAATAAGCTTTATACCATCTTAAATCATATTTATTGATTTTTCATAAATGAACAAGTTAGTAAAAGTATGGAAAACTTGAGAAAGAGAATCTTGAAAAGCAAGGTCTAAGATTAATAATTCAGTAAATAATCACCTTGAAATTTTGGCTTTGAGATCCCACAAACATTGGAAGCCCTCTGAATCACCAAACATCAGGCAGTCGCCCTTCCAGGCTAGAGCAGTTATACGAGCCAAGCCACTCTGCTCATTGAAATGGTATGTTTACTTTTAGATAAGAAAAATTAAGACCCACCCACATGGTGAAAAAAAAAGATAAACTGAAATCAGCAAATAAAGCCTTGTCTCAATGGCATTGAAATGGGGTTGGCAAATTTTGATTTTATTATTTAGAATTCTCAACCAATTATTTTTAATTGATAAAAAAACAAAAAGACTTAATAATTTGTTATTAATTACCTCTGGGGGAATTTTCGTCACATCCGATATTGTTGCCCCTTCCACAATAAAATGAAACACTGTACCATCTTTGTCTGTCATTACAAAATGCTCTCGAACATTGGACTTTTGGTTCTTTTTTTCTCTGTTTCACAACATAATAAAATCAGTTTTAAAAACAAAAGATTTTGAAAAAAATGTTTTTTTTAAATGTATTGAAGAGACAAACTTTCAGTCCTATGCCAATATTACCTCTATGTGTGTGACATTTGTACTTATCACTACTTATTGTGCTGATTATTTTGAGAACACACAACCGAGTTGGTATTATGAAGAGAACAATAGGGAAGTAGGAAAATATAGCCATTAAGAATAACACGAATTTCAAAAGAATTTAAATCATAACATAATCATATCCAAATAATTTTATTTGTGAAATATTTTTTGGTTTTAAAAAAATTGTTAATTTATAACTTTTCTGTCACTTTTTTTACCAGACAATATCTAATTTTTTAAATTCACACCATTTCACAAGGAGCAAAAAAAGTTTGGCTTATTTATGATTTTTAATGTAACAAGGGACAGAATAAATGATGAAAGATATGAAATTGCTTTTTATTTTGGCTTGTTAATATTTGTCTGATGTAAACCAGTGCAGAATATATTTAAGAGCCAATAGTATTAAATCACATTTAAAAAAAGCTACACTTTTCTTTATAGGTTTATATGTATAAACAATATGCTAATTAGAGACAGTTGGAAAGTGATTTTCTGATTTCGGCCAAAACTGAAACTAGGCCGAAAGTTTAAAAAATGACTTTCGGCTTTCGGCTGAAATCGAAATATTTAGAAATTTTGAAATTCTTTCACATATACATTCTGCATACATCGAAAATGATGAGGGAAAGTATCAATATTTACATTCCTTTTATAAAAATGAGATAATCGTGAATATTATAAATAAACATCTAATATAGGGGTCTCAAACTCGTGGCCGTGACCCATAAAACGATATTTTGCGGCCCGCTAAATGACAACAAAGTTTAGTGTTAATGCAGTGTTTCCCCATTCTCATATCTATAATGTGACTCTCCGCAATGATTTCAGTCGAATCTCACCAACTAGTCTAATTCTGATTTTTATTATATTTCTATATATTTGTATGATGATTATAAAGGTAAGAGCCATTTTAAAATCGGACTAAAAGTTTTTATTTTATAGCTTTTTATGAGACAAACATGGCAAGAGAGCAGCCTTGAGAAAAGTTTTAAAAAGTAAGTTGGCAAATAATGCACAGCCATATTTGTGTAAATCGTAACAATCTGATACAGTATTAAAGGATCCCTATTAAAATTGCTGCTAGTGTTTACGAGTGAGGGAAATTCCGGGCCTGTCAGCTTTGTTACTTTCAAAATCTTCTTCTTCTTCTTATGCTTTTTTACCCATCCACAAGAATTTTCCATTTATCCATTTATTTCCAATTTAGGCTTTGTCTGGTGGTGCTATCTGGGATTTTTCGGAGAGTATGTCCAATCCATCTCCATCTATTTTTTAAAATGTCTTCGTCGATGGGCACCTGGTGAGTTCTTTCTAGTAGATTTTTTTGGTAATAACATTTGGCCATTTGATGTTCAGGATCTTTCTAAGGCGTGTTTATGAAGGTCTGTAATTTCTGAGTAATGTTTGCCATTGTTTTCCAAGTTTCTGCTCCATATAGTAGGACTGTCTTTCAAAATGGGTTAGTCAAAAAGGCCTTTGCTACGATAAAAAGTTAAAATTCATTCTACCTACAAGAGATGCTTCCTTCGCATAAATAATTCATAAATATGGCCTGCTCCTGCCTACTGCTTGACCCATTTTAGCATTTAAAGCCTTCATGGAGAAGGATGGGGTGGTTTTTCCTGTTATTAGTGATCCCAAATGGCTCATGGACTTGGTTTTTCTTGTTGACATTACACAGGAGCTGAATATACTCAACGAGAAGTTACAAGACCAGGTGTAGCTTGTCAGTGTTACCTATGACAATGAAAGGGCATTCTGCACAAAACTTGTGTTATGGTTCTTAGAGAAACCTCTACATTTCCCAACATGCAAAGTACTCATGGACTCGGGCACACCATTCAGTAGTAACTTAATAGTAAGTTTTCTGATGCCATTGCAAAGCTGCAGAAAGAATTTGATCATATTTTTTAGACTTCAAAACACAGGCAGCCACTTTTCAGCTTTTTGCTGACCTTTTCTCCTTTCATGTGCAAGATGCCCCGCGCATGGAGGTAAATGGAAAAAACAAGCATGGAAATTTTATTGCATTGCCCTCCACCTTCCCCGAGATTTCCAGGTTGTTCAACCGGATCATATGACTTTTTGGGAGTACCTATCTGTGTGAAAAGCTCTTTTCCACTATGCACTTTAAAAAAGTCAAAGTTCAGGGCCAAACTTACTGATGAGGATCTTCAAGCTATACTGAGAGTCGTAGTTGCTTCCTCACTAAAGCCAAAGTTGCTCAGTTGTGTAAAAAGAAGCGCTGCCAGAAAGTGAAGCCTTGTTCTTGAGAACCCTTAATGTTTTTATTTGGTATTTATAAAGGTTGAGCAGATTGTAACAGTTGTACTTTAATGAATTTGTAATCGCTTTTTGTGGAATAAGTGATGCAGCCCAGTCTCAATCAGACTTTACCTCCTGCGGCCCCCCTGATGATTTGAGTTTGAGACCCTTGATCTAAGAATACTTTGGCTTTTACCATTTTAATTTAAAAGTAATTTAAATTGCTTTAAAATGTTTTAAATTAGTAAGGTGGAGAAAATTTGAAAATTTGGAAGTGGGGGGAGGGGGGGCGCGCAAAATTAATGCAAAATAGACCCTTGAGTGCCCTTTGCTTTTACAATATAATTACAACCTAGAACATATACCTACAATAATTATTGTGGCTCTAATAGAGCTAATTGCCACCCTAATATATGTTATAAGGCTATAAAAATATCACCACAATGTTTCGCTGTTTTCGTAATACTAATGCTTTGTATTTTTATTAATAGCTGGCAAGATATCACTGTATTAATATTTAGCCTAGTAACAACACACTTGTCTTTCCGTGCTAGTGATGTAATTATTTCCTTCGGAGACCAACCTCACTCAGGATGCTGGGTGGCCGAGTGGTCTAAACTGAGCAAATCTCAAGTTGGTGGTCTGGAGTTCAATTCCAGCAAAAGACAGAGTTTCCGGTTCACAAGCGCCTGACAGGCAACGGTGGGCCGAGTGGTCTAAATTGAACAAAAGCTCAAGTTGGTGGTCGTGAGTTCAATTCCAGCCAAAGCCCAGGCAAGCAAAAAAAAAACCTCACCGGGTAGATGGGACTCCCTAACCTTGGTTAGCAACTCATCTAAGAGAAGGAAACTCTAAATTCACACCCGGATATGGCACACCCTATAGGTGGCAAACATCGAAACAATGAATCATTCCGACAACCCTGCGGCGCCCGGATGCACGCAGTGAGCATGCTAAAATAGCATGGATACTTAGCGCTTTATAAGTATTCAAACAAATCAAATGAAAACAATGATGAATTTTAAGAAATGAATGGTTTGAAAAGGCCTAAGTTTGCTTTTTAAAATTTAAAAAAAAAAAAATACAACAAAAATAAAAATGGAAATTTTACCATTCCCATAGATTATGCAATATTTTTCACCTTTGCCTATGACAACATTGATGAGAATATAATAATGATAAATCAAATTGAATATCAAAAATGAAGGAATTTAAGGGTTCCAAATTTTATTTTTGAAACAAAAATTGAAACAAAAATAATGATATAAATTATTACCATTCCCTTAGTTTTTCTTCCACAAAACTGTTTACATTTGTCTAGGCCTAATTGAAATGTTATTTTTTTGGAAATAATAATATAGGACCAATAGGTCATCATGCAGCTTTGGGCAGCTGTCGCTGAGTATTAGTCATATAACATACAATGACAGCAAGACGTCGATCACTTATGAATATCAGATTGTCGGCCTAGAGACAGACCTTCTGACTTCTGGCTGAAACCGAAATTAAACAGAAAGTTAACTTTCTCTTTCGGCCGAAACCAAAATTAAGCCGATAGTTAGCTTTTCAGTTTCAGCCAAAACCCAGACTAGGCCAAAAGTGATCAAATGGCCGGTTTCGGCGCTGAAACCGAAATTCTGTCTGTCTCTAATCCTAATGCTTTTAAAAAGAGCATCTGATTCCTTGCTAATATTTATTTTGCCTTTAAAAAAATTAATTTAATAGCTAATTAACTTACTTATCATCCTCAGAATCACCTGAAGATGATATCTTGACCTGAGAGGAGGAAGCAGCGGATGATTTTTCCTCATCCCCAAAATCCAGAAGTTTTTTTCTAAGGGTTTTCAGACTGTGAGATGGTGACCAAACCTGAAAGAAAACATGCACTTCATGATCAGTAATTCCTACCACATAAATAACACAACCTCATAACTGATGGTCAGTGAAGCATGCGTTGTTCCATCCTATCTTAGAGAAAAACTCTATAATGTCGAGGGACGCTGGGACTCATCAAAAGAATTTTATTTTAAAACAGCTTACAAAACTGACGTGGTTAAGTTTGTAAGTAGTATTAAAAGTTCATAAATTTTAGTTGAAGAAGGCTTGTACTTAAAATGTTCTTTGATTTAGCTTGACTTCTAAAAAGGTTAACTATACTTTATTATATGCAAGCTACTTACGACTGTTGTTGGCCTTGGAAAGTTCCTAGGCAACTCACGAATGATAGTTTGTGTTCTTAAATCCCATAATTCCAAAGCCTTGTCTTTAAACAGTAGAACAAAATATTGCCTTTGACAGAAACAAATAATGAATGATGCACCAAATATATTTTACGATTGCAGCATAAAGCAAAAAATTTAACAACAAAATTCTGTATTTTTCATTAACTATCTTTTAGAAAGATCTTGAGGATATAGAGACATGCCAAAAAGAAAAGGTTTAATATTTAAAGTCAAAAGAGAAATGAACCATAACTTACTTAAGATGAGAAACAGACAACATTTCTATTGGCGATTCACTTTCCCTGTTTGCTCTTATTTGTTCTTGTTTGCCTAGGTTTAAGAGATTTTTAGATAAAATTTAATTAAATTCTTTTCTTCCACCCAAATTTTACATTTCATATCTACTTTAAAATTAAAATGACAAAATCCAACAATAATAAAACTGTTCTATAGGAAATCTACCTCATGAAATGCTAATGACAGTTACAATATGTTTTATCTAAAATTGCCTCATCAGAAATTCTAACAATAATTGCATCTAAACTGAAAGGACAAAATAATTTGCCTAGTGATGAAAAATAGGATAATTTTTTTTTTAAATTAAAAGAAAAAAACTTATTTTGTACTTAACATGTTTATTTATAATGAACTGAACTATAATAAAAGTAAGTTGACACATACAGTGTCTTTTTAATCAATGTATTACTAGACGAGATCAAAATATTAGTTCGTAAAATATACATATCTTCAGGGAATGCTAACCTGAAGTAGTGTCCAAGATTATAATTTCATTCTTCACTAAATTGCTGGCACCAGGATTAGGGAAAGCGTAGGATAGGAATGTTTTTAAGCTTGACCACTCGATGCCTCTAGAAAAAATAATAATAAAAATGGTATAAATGGATACTTACTTTTAAAGTCACACAATGCTTGTAATTTTAATGAAAATTAGTGTTTCAATCAACCAATGATAGATGTAAAATAAGTCTCGATAAACATACCTCACTGGACTTGAGTGTAAATTGTATTCTCTCTCTATTTGTCCACTAGAAGCATTAACAATCTGAACTGTCCCAGCATGAGTGCCTTTTAAAAGAAATGACAGTTAAGAAAATGGAAAATTATTCACAAAACAGGTAAATAATACAGCAGATAAAACTTGCTTACTTACCTAGTGCAATGAGGGGCTGGTAGTATTCCATATTTTTGTTGGTAAGAGGTGGACACATTTTCATGACTGTCACATGAGCAGCCACCCCACTGATGAGACCAGTAAGAAGGAATTTCAACTGTAAGTTAGGACCAACATGTTCAACTCCATCCATGTTCTAAAAAAAGAGTATAAATAAGACTATTGAGCAAAACCTTATTTTTGTAAGAAGCTATGTTAAAATTAGAAAAAGAAAGATAAGAAAGAGGCATAGGAAATTTATTAATAAGGAATTTGTGATAAAATGTTAAGTAATGAAAAAAAAAAGATTCCCTTTGTCTTTCCTGCATAACAAACTCATTATAGCAAATCAAGTGCAAAAGGTGGTAAAATACTACTATTTTAAACATTAACACCTTCATTTTATCTAAAGTATTGTTGAGAAATACAAGTAATGAAATGTGCTTGTGTTGCTGTATATCCTTAGTGAACTTACTTGAGATGTCCCTATGGAATCTGCCAATGCTAACTGAGGATGTGGCGTGTCAGATATGACAGGAAAAGATACATTTCCAACCCATTTTGAAGGTTTGGAATCCCAGCCTGGTCCAAGCAAAGGAGAAATAAAATGAGAGTCCAAACCTGGGTGCTGTGGAAAAGAATGGACACATGACTTTTATAGTAATCTTGTTTTTGGGGCTCAACTTTGGTTACATTATGGATCCTGTTTTTAATGTTTATTAATGGTAAGTAAACTTAAATACTATTAAAAGGATGAGTACTTTAAGTACTTACCTGTAGTGCAGTAAGTGACACTAAAATAATGAGTACTTATCTGTACTTCAGTAGTAACACTAAAAGAATGAGTTTTTACCTGTACTGCAGTCAGCTCCCAAAACATAACTCGACTGTCACTCATAATGAGTGCCATCATTTTCTCAGACACTGGACACATTGAAGAGCAGTATAACTTATTGTGTCTTGTCACCCTCAATGGGTCTGACTGGCAGCGTAAATCATATGCTACTTCCATTGATAGTTGTGTTGGTGTATCATCTAGACATTGAAAATAAAGCATTAATTTGAAAAAGTTAACTATTGCAAAAAGAGAGCTCTCTGATTTCTACTTATAATTGGCAAAAAAAGAAATGAAGCATCCAGCTAAGGTAATGAACTTAAATGTATCATTAAACATTACCAAAAGCTCCATGTCCCTCTGGTGCGGGTGTATTGACTGCATTATTTCTGCGTCGCACTCTAACAGAAACTCCACCATTTTCATGAAGACACATGAGAACATCTCTTTGCCAACAAGCTATCACCTAGAAATGGATAAGCAATTTCTGACTAAATCTGTTATAAAATACCATTATATTTAACCATCTTGAGACAGCTGGGCCAATCTATCTGCCCAGGGTGGAATGGCAAAAAAGACGAAAGGCTGATGGATCGGCCTGATAATTCAAGCCTGGAGATTGGCTGGCTGGTTTCGTACCAGCTAATCAGATTAATTCTTACATTTCTTGCTGAAATGGCAGCTTTCATTGATATTTTTAAGGAAAGTGACAGGAGGGATATAGCACCCAGTCAAATAAATGTACCTGGGCAAATAATTGCTGCCTAAGATTGCTTTTTTTTTTTTTTTTTTTTTTTTTTTTTTTTTTTTTTTTTTTTTTCTTTTTCTTCCCCCCCCCCCCCCTTCAATTTATTATAGCTCCAGGGGAGGGAGTTGGTTATTGTTTTTTTTTGCTCAAGAAAATATTGGTGGTTAGAATTAACTCTAGTGTGGTATATTAAAATATTAATATTGTGTATTTTAATAACATTAATATATGAACCATATGCTAGTATGTAATTGTTAAATTTTGAGTTTATTTATCAAGGATGTAAACGTTTTTCTCTTGATAACAATGTTATGAAAATATTGTACTCTTTCTGGAAGAATCAATTTTGTGCTTGAGATAAGTAGTGTAGCTGGTCAATTCCTTATGTTAGGGGGTAAAAGTATGATATCCTGGTGATGGGTTCAGAAATTTGATCATCACCTCGGAGGGGTGACAGATTTGGAAAAATTTATTTATGGCATTCTGATACATCTTAAATGCATGTGGAATTAAATAAGCAGATTCTTTAGGGCATAGCTATAGTTTTGAGAATTGGTCGAGTGGCGGAAGTGGTTTATGAAATATTCCCTGATAGTTCATCTGTCGAAAGTCGAACATGACCATTCTAAACACCTGCCTGTTGCTGAGGCTGAATCTGTCTGTGGGTCTGAAGATGGCTGATCAGGCCAATTCCAGCACAAAAAGTTCTGGTGCTGAAGGTGCAGGAGATCCAGGTACAGAGTTAAATCAAGCTTTTCTGACTTGTCTTTTGTCCTGCCCTGCTTGAGTTCACCATAAAAAATTCTTTTGGGCAAGTAGTCGTCTGAAATTCTGGCTATATGGCCCACCCAGCAATATACCCTAATTAGATAGTGGCTGATGTTTATTTCCTAATGAAATTAATATTGTTTCTTTAAAATGTTGTGTGTATTTAAATATTTGTATAGATACCAATTTTCACAAATCATTAACATGGTGTCTTTTGGTTTGTGTTGGATGCCTATGTTATTAAGTTTATTGTTCTTTTTAAATAAAATATAAGTAGCAAGGCCGATATTTACAATTTTTCTGAGTGACATCACTTTTTAAAACAATGTCAAGGAAGGGGGAGAAGGAATGTTATTGATTTGTTCAATGAGTGTATGTTTTGTATACTTGATTTGTTAGTGAGGGTAATTAGATCCATTGTGTAGCTGTTGATATGTGGTTTGTATTGGTGATGTTTTGTGTATAAAAGCTGACATTGTGCATTGTTATGGTTTGACAGAAAGAGAAGGAAGAAGGCAAGCTGAGGAGTATACATTTTACTTCCGATTGTCCTGCTTTCTTTTCACAACCTCCCACCTCCACTCAACATGTTTTATATTAAAAGTACTGAATGAAAAAAAAAAAAGCTGTCACGCAGCGAGGGTCATGCGTGACTTTGAACTCAAGTTTGATTTTTTTTTTTAGGGGTAGGTGACTATTATATTTGTAGGCAGCCACAGGTATTGAGTAGGACTATCTGTAGGCCAACTATTTAAAGGCCAGTATAAATTGATTGTAGGAAATGAGAAATTAACTCAATTTTTTAACACTTGGACCTACCAGGTATTTTCTCAAAATAACTGGACCCAGCTTAAAAAAAAATGCACCCAGTTAAGCCCAAGTATGAAATATTGATCTCGGTGTTGTTACTAATTACCCTAAGACTAAAAAAAGCTAGTGAACTGCTTATGGCTTATGCTAATAGGAGTTTTCTCACATTATATCCCTAAATTGGAGCAAACTTCTTGATGGAAGTTTAAAAAGTAATCAAATGATTTCAAATTTATTATTAATTTACCAAATATTTTGTAAAAAGCTTTCTCTAAAATAATCTTCTTACTTTAGTGAAAGAGGAGCTGGATCTATCAAGTGCAATAATTCCAACAGTTTGATTGATTTCACGGTCCAGAATAAGCATTTCTCGAGGATAGAGCAGCATCAAGTGGTGTCGGCAAGAACGATGAAAACAAAGCTGCAGACACTCATTCAAAGTTACACTTTCTTCTTCTGGTGATCCCCTACGAGTTCAAACATTTTTTAACAGAAAATTTATTAAGCATGAGAAAATTATTATCATTTAATCTGAATTTCATTTTGACAGATTAATTCCAAAAAACGTGCATAATTTTTTATTTAAAAAGTACATCTGCAACTAATTAATCCACATTTTCGTAAATGCAAATTTGACCATGCTAAAACACTTCTGAGAGAGTTGCATTGGCTGACGATCCGCCCTCGCATAGAGTACAAAATTGCAACTCTGTGCTACCCTGCTTGCATGACCTGGCACCGTCCTATCTCAAAGAGCTGCTGACGCCTTATGTACCCACTAGACAACTCCGCTCATCTGTTAGTGGCAAACTCTCGATACCGGGTGTTCGCCTTGAGACTTACGAGGGGTGTACTTTCGCATTTGCTGGCCCAACAATTTGGAACACACTTCCTGTCGCTCACAGAAACAGCCAGTCACTGGAGTCTTTCAAAACTGATTTGAAAACATATCTATTTCGCAAACACCTGCTGGGATGATGTTGTCTGTCTAGCTATTATCTTGTGGATGTGTATTGGCCTGTGTTGTTTATGGTTGCAAGTGATGAAAGACTTAGAATGGGTATTCTCGTATATAGTTTTTGCAATGTTGCATTTTGTATTTCAATGTGGTATATATTCTCTTTTAATATGCTAGACTATGTACCGCACTTCGAGCCTTTGGGGATGAAGCCTGATTTTCCAATAAACTTTATTTTATTATTATCAGCAAATATAACAAAGCAAATTAATAGGTATTCTACCAATTTTCTTATTGGTGTTGCTATATTTGGAATACCTGAGAGGGAGGCTAACCTAAAGAGGTTTACCTTTTAATCAAAACACAGAATTGTAAAGAAATTTTATTGACTCGTCTAATGGTTAGAAACAATGGAATTTATATGTATAAAAATTACTTTGGAGTGCTCAGTAAAATCTTGAAATAACTAATACTGTGCAATTCCCATTTTTTTACGCGTCTATTGACACAGAATAAGTACAGAGCCATCTAACACGAGCAGAGAACATTATTTCAACACACTTTTATGGACAAGACCATGACTTTGTCATGTGTTATAAAAGAAATAGAGTTTAAGTTAAAATTAGGGTTACATTTTATGTTGAAATAACATTGTACATTGCTCTGAGAGATTATTAAACTATAATGAAATGCAGCTAACAATAAAAATTTCAAATAAAAGCTATTTATTTGAACTGACTTACTTTGCTTTGGCTTCTCCAACCAAAATTCGGCTCATTCTTTTGGCAAGATTCTTTGATGATGTTGATGATGTGGAAGTTTTTCGCTCTAAACTATTACTGCTGGCTGATCTTGGCACATTAGAAGCTTTTACAAGTGAAAATATATATTTTTAAAAATTTCATTATGTTTTCCCCTTGAATTTATCTTAAAATAATCTCTCAGAACCACAATCACTCTTAAAACATATTCAAATTTAAAAAGTGAAACAAGCTTTTAAGTTTACCTTGACTTGGGTTGGATATATAAAACTTCTTGCCATTGCTTGATGGAGATTTGTTTATGGTAAAGTCAGAAACAAAAATAATGCTGTCCTGGCCTAGAACTGAAATAGTTACAAAATAAGAAGCAAAAAATAATATTAATGAACAATAATGTATTTATTTGCACAAAATGTATAATTTAAAACAAAATGAACTATAAAAACTACAGCTGTAAATATTTCAGTAAATAATACAAATGATTGTGGTAACTAGTTATGAAATAAATCAAATGTATTGCTTCTTGGTGAGAATATATAGAATAGGTCTATCCTGTTTAATTTTGCTAACAAAAGTTAACAGATAAGAAGAGTTTATTTTGCATCTGAATATATTTCTTATTTAACTTTCCTTTTAATATCCTATTAACAACTTAGATAATATTTTTGGATCTTTCAGTATCATTTTGCAGGTAAACAAAATTAATAGGATTCTTAATATTACGGTACTTTCAGGTTTTTTTCTGTGGTCAAAATCAATAGATAAAAACAATAAAAAGTGAACTACTATTCAACTTACATGCCAATTCTTTACTGTTGAATGGATCAAATGTGAAGCTTAGTAAATTTTCTGTGTACGATTTTTTCCACAGCTTTGTTCCCGTGTCAGCATTCCATAATATAAGAGAATAAGGAGGGTGAAGACACACAAGTAAATCTCGACATGCGTCCTGGTTACTCACCCACTGCATCCCTGAGTTTTAAAATTATTTAAGAATTTTAATAATTATCTGGAATTGTTTTTTCCAATGAATCAAATTTATTAAAGCATGAATTAGTGACTGAATGACTTGTATTTAACAAACAATGAATATAATTCTCTCTGTAGGAAAGAAAGCATGGTGCAATGGTAATTTCAATAGCTAGTAAAATAAAATTCCTGATAACTGCGCCAAATGAGATTCTTAGAAAAAGCTGAAGTGGATTTGGTGCATAATATTTTCTTTTGTTTTATGGAGATATTCTCAATTCAAATGTGGTGTAAAAAAATTGTGTGTAAAATGGGGTAGGACATTAGAACATACATTTAGTTCAGGTGTGTATGGGGGGTGGGGTGTTAAGTAGCATTAATTGGGATTCTAACAAGGTGCACTACTTGAATGCATGTTCTAGTAACTTTATTAGATGGGAAGTTCACCCAATGCTGCTGCCAAAGTTTGACGGGCTATAACTAGTTAAATAGAAATACCTAGAAGTTTTTTAAAACAAATTAATAGATTACCTAATATTTGTTTATTTCCATCTTCAAAAGCTGAGTGCACTACACCCATGCCAACATCCCAAACAATGATGTGACCATGGGTGTCTGATGATGCCAGCCGAAGGGTGTATGGAGAGTTCAGGTCATGATGATATTGTTCATGGGCCCATTTGACCTGTTTATTCAAGAAGCAAACAAAAATCTCTTCAATACCTTGAAAGTTATAAATTAAAATGCACTTAAGATTTTAAATGCTTTCTAATGCCGCATGTATATTATGTCCAATTTTTACATGTCAATAAACATTTCTCTATATTAAAATCGGTAAATTCGCATATTTAGCATTACATGACAAAAGTCAAGGACTGTTGAAAAAAATTGAAAATTAAAAAGGAATTTGATAAAAAAATGTTAAAATAATCATAAATGTACATGAAATTCTGTAAAATTCAATAAAATAACTTAATAAACAAAGTATTTTTTAAAATTTCTAAATGCCTTCGACGGCAGCCCACCCCTGTTTTAGGACACATAAAGCATGATCTGTTTCAACCGCAGTGATAATATCAATATTTATATCCACATCATCCATTTGAGTCATGCTCTTGAATCCATAAATTGTTAATGGAACAGCCTAGTTTAATATCACTTTTAACGGCTTGAAGCATAGTACCGGTACTTTTGTTTTCGTTATTCCTTGTTGAGCAGAAACATCCAGATTTTGAACTTTATAGGGGGCATTTGTTGCTCTCCCAATTCCTTGTTGATTCTTGTAAGATGTGATAATATTTAGCATCTAGCTTTCATTTTTTGCCAATGTTTCTCCAGCTTCAATTTTTAAGTTACTATTTAATCCACACCTTTACTCAATTTTTGTTTAAATTTGACCATCAAACAGTTTGGAATTTAAAAATACAATTAATATACTAATATGTTAGTGGTCCATAAATTATCAAAATCTGTGTAATATTATTAATGTAAAATAAAAACTAAATATACCAGAGTTATAACACCTTTATGCCTGTCAAGTACTTGAATAACCTGAAATAAAATATTTTTAATGTAAATAACCTACATTTAACATAAATTTATTGTAAAGACAAATGTATTTGATCAAGTCTGGGTTCCTTATTTTGATTCCCTTATTAAAATTCCTTTAACGAATACTAACAAAGATAGAGCCCTAAAAAGATTAGGTATTTACCTGTACGGTTTTTGGTTCTACCACAGTCACCAAGTTTTGACATCCATAAGCAAGGTAACCTTGCCAACCCCTGTTTAAAAAATGAAAAGCCCCAAAATAAAATGCAATCCTGCTGAAGTAAAAATTCTGGGGGACACACCCCCCACCCCAAATCCCTGAACAAAATGAAAAACCTTGTTCAAAGACATGCAAACATCGCCTTCAAATCAGGGATTTGGAGCAGAGCTCCGAGCTCTGGACCAGGGTCTTTTTGCCTGGAGCTGGTAAAGAGCTGGTAAAATTTCTTAATTTTAATAGATGAAACATTTTAAAAATAAAACATTTATAAATTGTACTTTTTAATTAAACTTTAAAAAATTAATTTATTAAAATTGATGCCCCACTCTTCTATCAGCTATGTTGCCCCATCTCTTTTACCAGTTGGGTTGCCAAATTCTTCTAGCAGCTATGCTGTCCCACTCTTCTTAAAATTATTAATAATAAGGACAGTTTTTAAACTCAAACTTTTTCTTCTTCTAAATATTAAGGGACCACGATCAATTTTTTATTCATTCTGGCTCCTATTCCTATGCATTTAGAGCGGATTTTCAACGTTTCTGTGCCTGGTGTTGAAAAGGATATTTCACAGGTTGCAAGGGCTACTCAGTGAGGGGATCATGAACTGGGGGTTGGAAAGCCTGAGGCAATAGACGCAAATGTTTCAAGTGTTTTTGCCTCAACTGTTCCTTTTGGATGCTTTTTCCAGTCCCCGATTGACTTTGGCAGAAATGAGTAGTTCCTGTGCTGGCATCTTGCTGGTGTGAGCCGGAACTGCCTGTCATGACCTCATCGCCTTCTATGGGGAAGAGGGACGAGTTTCTGTTTAAGTAATGGACCAACCCATAATTTATCTTGTACATCATAGAGAGCCTGGATAGTCGTCAATGTTCCTCCAATGGTGAGCATCCCAGTGTTTCAGCATGTTGCCAACACTAGAGGTATTCCTGTAGCGGTTCAGGACAAAGCATTCTGCCCATCGCTGGACGCCTCCAACCTGTGGATGCTCTTCTGGGTAAATTGGTCCCAGACTGAAGATACGTAATCTAAAAGCAGCCCGACAAAGGCTTTATAAGCTCTTTCTTTCACACAAAGACAATTGATTCAGAACAAAAGCATATGTGCAATAGAAACTTGACCTTCCAGACAGCTCCCAGAGAAGCCACTGCTTTTCCTTGATTGTTGTCAGAAGCACTAATTGCAGCTTGAGGACTGAATAAAAAAACTAAACTGATTTTAACATATACTCTGCATTGTAACCTAATTCTTTTAATTTTTTAAAACATCATTATATTTCTATGATATACCGTAATTAAATTATTGTTCTGTTATGTACCATTATATGGTTTTGCAAACCTAATCAGATTTAAGATTTGGCTCTCTTGTTGAACAATGTCTAACAAATGACTGACTACCAGTATTCAAACAAAAACAATACCAAAGCTAGTGATACTAGAAATATTAAATTTAATTGTACTCTTAAATTTACATAAAAACACAAAATCAAATAGACAGAAATAAAATCTATAGGAACTTATACTTACAGCACAGCAAGTGAAAAAGTACAGTCCTTGAAAGATACAATTATTAATTTACACACATACACACAAAGAGTACAATCTTCGGCTGGAAATGCTGCCGCCTCATTTAAAGGGAGAAACTTGGAACCCTCCAAACAAGAAATTCTAGAAATTGCGTCACCTGATAACATGCTTTAGAACACTTTAGAACATATTTAAAGGTAAACAACCTTTCCCAAATCAAGGGAGAGGTGGGAAAAAAGGATTGGCGCTACACATTTAATCAGTGACGTCAATATCAAAACTAAAAAGTGGGAGGGTTGAATGCCACTGCTTGTGGTGAACAAACACAATGTAAACACACAGGCTATAACAGCTCACTTAAATTTAATTAACATGATGCTAGTTACTGCAAAAAATGTCTCAACTTGTTTTGAAGATTGTTTTAGATTATCACAGTTTTGTGAGAAGTTAGTGTACATTTGTTTTGTCTTTGGGCTTACTGATGCCATATAAAATTTGTTGTTTTAGGGTCAAATACTTGTGACCAACTCTTAGGCTTAGCCTCACTGCGCTACTTTGAATTTGTATCTAACTTTTTTTTTAAATTTTAAGGCTGATGTACTTTTTCCAGTTCTCCACGAGACATTTACAATGTGGGTAATCCTTTATTTTAGCATGATAAATTATTGCTGGTGAAATAAATTTAAAAATCCTTACTTACCTGATAGAACTACCATAAACGTACTTTTAAAAGTAAAATATCTTTCTGTGCGAGATCAAAAACAGTACACTTCATGAATTCATGCATTTTTTGTCATTCACAACACAATTGTGGTAAATCAAGGTAAACTCTTCTATCTTCAAAGATATGTTATAAAAGTTTCCCAATTGGATGTATCTAGATTTAAATAAATGTTGTCCTTATTTCATAATTTTATTTAATTATGTCTAGATGTCCAATATTTCTTTCTAAACCAGTGGTGGGTTTAGACAAGTTTAAAATACCATATTTAAGTATCTAGGCATCTTGGAATCTGTAGGGCTATTCGTACAGGCCCATATAAAGGTGGTACATGCCATGGGTGTCAATATCAGGGGTAGCATTTTCTATATACTAGTGGCTGAGAAGTGTCCAATTTTTTTTTTTAAATTATGACAATTTCAATGATTTTGGTTGAATTCTAAGTACGGTAGTTGAGTCTCCCACTTTGCATCTTTTGCCCAGGCACTGTTTCCCAAGTCAGCTGCTTACCAAAGTCATTCTTTGATACATTGATGTAATGGATAAGCACAGACATGGCTGGAGCCACGTAGTCTGTGTGGCCTTGTCATGATCCTGTTTAGGAAGGCGAAGTTGACGCAGCTTTCCCCTGAATGGGTTTACGGTTTAGGCAGATTTATGAATGTTAATGGTGCATAACCGTGTTGGTGTGTGTCCACTGCTGTGATTGGACAAATGAACGCAGGACAATTAAACCCACGATAACTCACCATAAAACATCCGAACCCAGGCCAAGTGAACCAAAAGAACAAGTGAACACGCAGAAAAGTGAACATAGACAGTTCAGCCCACAAACAACTGGGGAGCCGAAAGGTTGACCAAATTTTTTTAAAAATAGTATAGTATTATTTTGCAGTTTGGACCCACCCTGAGAGTTGAAACCGGTTTGACTTTTTTCCTTTAGGTTTACAGTTTTCTTGTTTTTCTGGATTTTTGGTTTGGCATGTTCCGGAGTTGACTCCAATAACTTGTAAACTTTAGAGTGTCCCCAACGCCAGGCTGACACAAGTTGGAACCAGTTGGGACTTTGCCAAATTTTCGGACAGTCACTAACATGACAAGGGGTCAAGGTTGGTGCCCTATTTCTCGTGCCTGAGAAAATATAACCGAAAGATGTTCTCCTATTAATAGTTTTGGGTCTAGAATGCTCAGTAGTCGTCTCTGATGCTCATTGCTGACTGTGCATGTGTCACCAAAACGGGTAGACAAGAGACTAGGTCATGGGACTTAGCTGTTCTGCACATTTGATCGTAGGTTCAATTTGCTTTGAATTTGTACTCACTTGTCTGTACGTTCACTTGTCAGCGAGTTCACTTGTCATGTTTGGATGTCTTGTAAACAGTTGTCATGTAGTTACTGGTCTGTCTGGTCACTTGTCTATACTTTCACTTGTCAGCGAGTTCACTTGTCATGTTCGGATGTCTTTTAAACAGTTGTCGTGAGTTCACTTGTCGTGTGTTAGATGCCTGGGAAGGATATACTGCATTGGTTGGAAAGCAATTTCTAATCCCCCTCGTTAAGGCTTCAAGGGACCATTCCAGGGGTGCTATGCGAGTATCAGTGTCAGTATATTACAACCATCAGCCAAAGATTGTCAATTAATATACAAAGTTGGAAATCCATTAGAAAAGGGAAGAAACACTGGAGGATACCATTATCATTATTATGTAGTGGTGGGAAGGGCTGAGGTTACACCATCAATTAATATATGTACTTCATCGTATGATTCCACTGTATGCTGACGCCTCTGAATCTGACCACACATTGGCTGAATAGACAATTAACAAACTTATCGTTCGACGTATTTTTAAAAATACACGTTATGTTTTATATTGAAATCCCTTTAAAATCAACGAAAACACATGACAAACTAATTGGAAAATAAATACATGTTATGGTAACTATTGAAGTGTTTTAATGTAGTTCCATCAGGTAAATAGGAAGTTTTTGTTATCTTGTTAAAATTAATTTTTAAAAAGGCACAATAAAGGATTAATGACAATGTCAAAGTAGTAAAAAAATTCAATAAAAGGTTTATATATGATGAATATTTATTTATCATGATTATACGTGAGGAGACCTTACAAAAGAACAAAAAATGGGAATAATTAATTTTTAAAAAATCAAAGAATCTTTATGACGTTATTATTTCTTTATTTAGGTACTTCGTTAAAGCAAGGGAGACTACTATAACATTTGTATGGGAAATCTGAGTTTTTAATTTTTTGATGTTGGTGCTATTTCATTCATAAAATAATAACTATTCCATAATTGTTTTCCTTTTCCTGCCTTACGCTTTAGAGGACATCTTAGCCTAAAATTTAATCAATTTCTTTTTGATTTATAATTTATCAGTCAACTTTGAGAAAATCGTTGGTGAATATAAGGAACTTTCATCATTAAGATTAAGTCGAAATTAAATATATGCCATTTTCATATTTATTGTGGATCTCTGGTATATATTGATCTATCAGTTTGCGAATTTTCAAAACGCCATGGGTATTACGAAAGACATAATAGTTCTACTTTTGAACAGTATACTATGTAGGTCTCTCTACCCAACTTCGCTTGGATGTGACCAAGCACCCTTTCCTTTTTAATGGTGGAAGATGCTGATACTTGAGAAATATTCAATTATTATCCCTATATACATCAAAATATTTGGATAACTTATTTTTTAGAGTGAACTTAGAAGGCCTATAAAAAAAATATCTTAATATGATGGTTAAAAACCTGGTAAAATTCCATATTATAAATGATCATAATTTGCCATGTGCAAAACGTTGTATTGGATAACCCTTCACAGCCACTTGTATAATGGCTAAACCGTAGTAATATCTCAGCGTTTCATTCATAAGAGTTTGCAATGAGCAAAAACTATTAAACCATTGGTCAGGGAAAGCTTTAACTAATGAGTCATGTGCCAAAGTCGAGAGTTCAAAATAAGTAGTCCCTAAGCAGTATTTTAGTAATAAGGGGATGTGTTGCCTTATATAGACTTTATAGTATATACCGGTATAATGGACACCATAGCAGAAAAGCCATGTATTTTATTAAATTTACTGATATACATAGTGCATAGTTTGATAAGTTACAATTTATTTATAATTGCATAACATTATTAAAATTACAGCATCAATTCTAAAAATAAAAGTTGTATAAAATTATCTGTAATGTGCCACTTAAACAAGTATGAAATATTTCCACAGAGAATACTACAGTGGACAGAGAGTCACTGGGTTTTTGATGGCGTAGAAAGCGAGAGTGGGCATTCTTTTCTAGTGGAAGTGCGATAACATTACAAGAGTGTATAGAAAGATATATTCTTCCAGGCTCACTGATTTTATCAGTTGGGTGGGCGGCTTATGCAAATATAAACCAAATCCGAAATGTAATACACAAAAAATCCGTTGTGGTGCAGAAACAAAATTTTGTTGATTCAAATGATGCTGATGTCCACAGCACATGTGGAAAACATGTGGATGTGCGCATAGTGCAAACTATGCACAAACTAAAAAGACAGTTTGGCACCAGCTGCAATCTTTTTCCTATCCTATAAAGGCATGGTCATGTTTTGCAACCATTTTCATAGAAGTTATATTTTTTTAAACTTCACTGTAACCTTGGGGGTGAACTATGAATAACTGGCAAATTTGGAGAGATAGCACCGCGATTTTACAATGGCCCCCATCTTGGTTGACACAACCCATGAAAAGGTCACTTATCGTGTCAACCAAGATGGTGGCCGAGTAAAAAAAAAGTAGTGCAGACACGTGTTATAAAAAAGGGAGAAGTTGAGAAGAAAGTGTTTTTTCAACTACTTACTGAAAGATATGAAAAGAAACAATTTTATAAGAAAATTTGATTTAAAAATAACACAAATATGTATTGTTTTTTTAAAAGTGCGTTAAAAAAAAAAGTAAAATAAATAAATGCAATTTTTGTGAAAAAAAGTGAAAAATTTATCAACTTAAAAAAATTTTTTTTTTAAAGATTATAAAAAAAACTAGCAAATTTTTATAAAAATTTTGTAGTGGTTGAAGACCACCACCCCTAAACCTAACCTAAACCTTAAATCTATCCCTAAACCTAACCTGAACCCTAAATCTATCCCTTGACCTAACCTGAACCCTAAATCTATCCCTTGACCTAACCTGAACACTAAATCTAACCCTAAACCTAACCCTTAAACTGACCCAATCGGAACCAGGTTTTTTACCCTATCGGAACCAGGTTTTTTACCCAATCGGAACCAGGGTTTTGACCTTATCCCTAACCGGGGTATTGACCCTAAACCTAACCAGGGTATTGACCATAAACATAAACTGAACCAGAAAGGTATGGTAACAAACGATGTCAACAACATGAAAAAAAAATGAAAGGAAATTTACCAATTATAATTTATTATCTTACTCACTCTTTATGAAGCAGAATCTCATAAATGGGGAGGATATACAATTTTTATTACATTTAAATGCCTTCTCTCATTAGATCTTCACTGCCACACAAGCGTCGCCACATATACTCATATGAATATGAGTCGAACTGCTCCTCCCCAGGACAGATTCTCGTGGGCAGAGATCGTTTTATTGCACTCCAAGTGCCCTCTATGGTGTTGGTGTGCCCGCCCCTTTTCAGTGTTTGAACTCAATTGTATGGTTCACCCTCAGGTGGTGAAACCCTTCGTCCTCTAAACAGTCATAAGACCTCCAACAATCTGAAATGATTGTGATCCCTGGCTGCACGAATTCTTTAATTATTGCCAGGAGGACATCTTGCCGCGGTTATCAACAACTCTGAAAAGGGATTTCTTGGATCCTATTTCAATCCCACCAAACACCCATTTTCCTTCTACACGTTTGCCTCTGATACTTTCGCTTGCCGAATTTGGATTCGCCAATCTCCACAATTTTACCCACTCCACCTAAGCTCTCACTTGACAAAATACACGCTTCCACACAGACCTCGCGACAAAAGCTCACACAGTCGGTTACTGTATCTGGACCAACACCTACTTCTGTCGCAATATTTCCCAAAGGCATTTTTTTAATCCAAAAGTGTGTCAATAAGAGAATGTCACTAAATCTCAATCTAATGTCACTAAATGTCAATCTACTGTCACTAAACCACAATCCCTTCCTTAAACTACGCATAATACTGCCATGGCTTTTGTCGCGACATCTCCATACAAACCCATCTGAAACACCTGCCCTTGCATACAATTTCATAGCCATCTTACAATTAGGACATTCATACCGGTCTGCAATAAGACCATTACTCATGACCCAATCCATCACACTCCTTTCGCCCATACCTTCTAGATGAAACCAAAAACTGGCGGTAAATTTAGCTTCCATCTGCATAAATTTACCCAAAATTTATCTAAACAAAACCAAATTGATGATGCAAAAAATAACAAATTTTTAACTTATCCCGGACACCCGGAGTACGATGAAGACGAGAGTGACGTAACATTTAAGCACACCTTTCTATATCCCCATAATTTTAGAGTACCCTATAAGAAAATTAATATCTCTATTTTTCATTAACATTTTGAACATTCTAAAATTTCCACACACTCAGAATAACACTTGAAAAGAAAATGGCAAGAATTGTTGATATAAAATGTAACTTTTCTTTTAATATCCCTTAATTATTCACATGAACTCTTGTACCAAGCGTTAACTGTTGAAATATTCCTTCGCCGCCACTTTTTCCAATGAACAAATGTAAATTTTCAAGAAATAATTTAAAATTTAATGTTTATTAATTTTATTTTTAAAAATAATTATTAAATTTTGGCATTTATATTAAAATGAACATACAAAACCACCAAAAAACCCATATTTAAATAAACATTCCTTCGGCGTATTAATACTAATACTAATACATAAAAAAATAATTATCTAAAAGTAAACTAAGGGGAATGACTCCTATCTATTTAAATTAGCCGAATAATTTCATTTTTATACATTAAATTGTTTTGATTATTATATTTTTGAAATTTTTTCAATTATTCATTTTAAAAAATATGCCTTGTATTATTTTATATATGTGCTGAAATGAATAGCCTATGTATCAAACACAATGTCTTTAAAAAAAACATTTCCATCCTTTTTGGATTTGGATCTTATGAGTAAATTCAATAAATAAAATAATTGTTTTTAAATAGCACTTAAAATCGGAACAACTGGCCTTTTCCTTGGCAAACGCTCAAGTGGTAGATTCCCAAATTATCATTAAAATAAGTTTATAAGATTTATGCCCAAGGTGTGATCAGCGGAATGGGGGGGTCACAATATATGGAGATGTAGGCTACACTGTAGTCTTGTCTATAACTATAAGTCAAAGTCAAGTCAAGTACTCTATCTAGAAAAAAAAAAAACTAATGAATATGAACTCGAACTTTAAACATTCCTAGCTCATTTTTTTTTCTTTGAAATTTGCTCAATATTTAATATTTAAATATAATATATTAACTCAATTTTTAACTCAATTAATCACCAATGAATGCCAACTTTACATTATTAAAACAATAACTATAAGTCAAAGTCAAGTCAAGTACTCTATATAGAAAAAAAAAAAACTAATGAATATGAACTCGAACTTTAAACATTCCTAGCTCATTTTTTTTTCTTTGAAATTTGCTCAATATTTAATATTTAAATATAATATATTAACTCAATTTTTAACTCAACTAATCACCAATGAATGCCAACTTGACATTATTAAAACGGCAGTTATGGGTGAATTGTATATTACCAATCACATGCATCCTTATTATGCGCGTGAAGAGTACCAGTAATAATTTTCGGGTACAATTTCATGGTCATCCAATAACACAATTCTACGGTGAGCAATAATTGTAGCGTAAGGCGTACACAATGTAAGTGCTCAGCAAGAGAGGGATTTGTTGTGATTGCAAAGCGGAAGTAGAGGTGGAGAATATGTGAGAGAATCCTATTTGAAAAAGTGCTAATGAATCTGATAATTAAATATAGTAGACACACGAGAAAGCTTTGATTTGAAACAACATGATTTTTTATTATCTTTTTAATGGGGCTTACATACAAATAAATTTAATTGCAGATCATAGACATATTTCTTTGGAAATGCATTGGCATTATTTTTTTTAAAGTTAATGCATAGTTATAGTTATGCATTTGAAATTCAATTATTTAAATGGAAGATTTAAATATTATGTAATAGGTTTTTTTATAATGATATGTAGCATACAGGTGAAACTTTTTCAACTTATTGCTGCTTATAGCACTACCTGATATTTCTAATTAATATATAAACTGGCTATTAATTTTGGCTGCATCTATAGGTACCCGGGTACTTATGGTCGCCAATGACTATTCGCACCCGGAGTGGCTCCGTACATATTAAATGGCTTCGGAACCGGGTGTGATAACAATAGTATGAGAATTATTTTTTAAAATTGTTTTTTCTCCTTGTTATTTCATTGATTCATAGTTTTATTATTTTTAATTGTTTTTTTTTTATTTTTGCTTTGTTAATTTCTCTTAGTACCGGTAAATTTTTTTTCTTTATTATTTTCTTTTTTTAGTTTAAGCCATTTTCGGGGATCATTTTTTTTGTGTTGAAAATCTAGTAATGAAGATGATTGAGATACATTTATTGTTTTTATTTGAATTTTAGAAAAGTAATAATATTAATTTAATTATTAAAATTAAATCCTTTATTTAAGATTATTTATGTGTATTGTTTAAGTTAAAAGATTTAATCACACAGTACTTTATGAATTAATTAGGTATTCTAAATAATGAAAATTTCATTCATAATGAATTAATTTCAACTATTCCTCTAGAACAAAACCACCAATTTTAAACCTTTTCCTTGGCACTGGGAGTCATACATGCGGAGAATGACTGTTTTTCCTGATATCTTGAATCTCCTTTCAACAACCTTTCTCATTTGACTTGACCTAATTCACAAGGTAGTTGCAATGAACATCTTAAAGTTAAAGGATGCCATTGTATAAAGTATGAGAAAGAGACTTATTTGGAAGACTAGTCTTTTTTTTTTTTTACCATATCTGTCTACTGGGTCTAACACACTGGTAGGCCTACATAATTTAATAGAAAAAAACAACCCTTAACTGAGAACATTTTTGTTTGGTCGTTAGTTTTTTGAGTTGTGTACTCAAGTTATCCATAAAATAAATTAGGGGTAAATATGGAGTAGGCAGCCAATAAACTCATTCAATTAGATCACATCATTCCTTTGTCTCCTTTTACTTTCTTTCTCACCTTCCTTGTTGGTACCTTTACAGTTAACTATTGTTTGTACGGTATTATTTCTTCATTTAAGTACAGACGTAATGATTGAGTGGGAGCAAATATATGTGATCTGTGAAGGGAGTTTGGTTTCAAGGCACATAGCCACATTGAAAATAAAATACTGATAACCTAAGTAAATAGAGCCATTGAAAAAAGTATAGTACATACAAACCATACACAAACAGTAAGACAAAAATCCACTAAAGTTTTTTTTTTTTTAATTTGTTGTGGCTTTTATTGCAAAAAATTAAACATTTAATACCAATTTTGACTTTACGCAAAATGAATAAAGACAAATTTGTATTGTTTTGTATTGTAACTTATTGTACTGTATTGTAAATGAAACTTTGCATACACATTAAGAATAACATTGACAAAAGGTTTAAAGAAGATTATTACACAGCAGTTATTGGAAGTTTTACAAATAGCGTGTATGTGGGGGGTCAAATAAATATTTGAGAACTCTTCAGGGGTAGCAAATGTAAAAATATTATAAAACTTTCTAGTTGGATATATATATATAAAAAAAGCCTCTAGAATTTCATAAAGAATATCAATGAAAAGAAGCCAGCAATCTTTGAAGGCTGTAGCTAGAATACTTTTGCTCCCGATTCATTTGGCGTTCCTAAAAAATCCAGAAAATGCAAAATTGAGAAAAATGAAAAAAAGTATAAAATTGTGTGTGTTTTTTTTTAAATTAGAGGCTGCATGAACGATATAGGATGCATACACCATGTACATATACCCTTCATGAATTAAAAAAACAATTAGAAAACTAAGACAGAAAAATACAACAAAAAAATTAACTCACGAACCTAATAAATAAAATACATAAATACAAAAATTCTGAAAAATTTTCCTCTGAGATATTTGTTTAAAAACCATCCATCATTAAGTAGAGAATTTCAATATAAATAAGCATGCAAAGTTTCAATTATGTAGTTCCAAAACTATTCCTCCTGATTCATCAATTGACGTCAGAAAAAAAAAATTAAATTGCTATATCGATAAAAGCTGAAAAAGACACTGACAAATGCTTATTAAAAAAAATTAAAGGTTACTTGAACAAGATAGGATGCATACATCATGAACACATTCCACTTGTTAATTAAAAAAAAAAAAAATTTAGTACATAGATATAATTGATAGAATATAAATGAATGCATTTTCCCAACAACCCACTAGCCTCGAGCCTAATAAAAATAATAAGATCATAAAAACTTCGGAATTTTGTTTATAAGACATGTAATAAAAAAAAACATCAATCATTATGTAGAGAATATAATAGAAAAAACCTTGCAAATTTTGAAGCATATGGTAATAATACTTTTCCTCATAATACATTTGATGTCAGAGATAAATGGAAAATCCTAAGTGGACCACTTTAAAAAGAGAAGAAAATTCAATTAAGCAATATTAGAAATATAGGAGTCAAATAAAATAAAATTTAAAGCATATCAATGTGAAATTATCAGGCAAAGGTGAAAAAATAAATATTTTAAAAAAATATCTTACAAAACTAGTTTCAGCAAGACATATTCACACATTCACAAAAGATAAGAATTTTCTGGACATATTTAAAATTTTTAAACATTATCGTAGAACATGTTAATTATTAAAAATAATAAATCAATAGATGTAAGTTAAGAAACAAAAATTGGCCCCAGAAATATAATAAAAATGGGTATTTATTTACAAAGTTGCTAATCGGACCCGGTCCGAGAAGTTAGAGGTTGGGATTAAAAATTTTAGGTTGTAATTGTAAGACAAAATTTGGTATCAAATGAAAGATAATTGAATGGACTATATGTTTGTAAACTTAATTCTTCAGTTTAACTAAAGGAACGTTATCTAAAATAAACTACCACAAATGACATCCGAATAGCATTGGTCTATGGAACCCGGGTTTGAATAGCGGCAGCCATTTATTTACACACCAAAAATTTATAATTTTCAGAACATTAAAAACATTCACATATTTATTTTATACAAGTAGTTGAAAATTGTTGGGGCAGCTATCTTTTTCTTTTCAGGGTAAAATTTTGTTTTACCTTAGGTTGCCCAAGTGATTTATTGTTGTTGCATGGAGTCTTAAAACATCAGCATTGGATGATGCTGCCCATAAATGGGCCTTACTCCACCAGTTCGACTCAAAATACTCCAAAGCTACATCAGGAAGAGTATCTTTCATGTCTTGCATCAACTTTAAAAATTCATCACACGACTCAGTATAAACTTGAGACATAAATCCTTCAAGAATTGGCTTAACATGCTCAGGACCTACATGTTTCGAAAGAAACCTGTGCACAGCCTGGTTAATGTGAAAATGACATAGATTAACAGGTACATTTGGAAACAGATCATTTATAGCAGAGATTTCAGCAATGTCTTTGTCAACCACAAAGCACTTGAAAAGATTGGCATCAGAATTCTTCAGAAGAAGCAGCAAACAAAGAGAAATAGATTCCATATCTTCATTTTTTTACAAAACCATGAAGAACTGGAATGCCCCTGCCCTCTCCATCAATAACCATTACAGTCAAAAGTGGATATAAATATCTATTGGTTTTGTATGTGAAATCCATTAATAAAACCTCTGGATATTGGGCAATAATTTTAATAATATCATGAGCCATGTATGATAAATTCTTAACTTCCCCACTTTCTGTTAGTCCATAGGACACACTTCCACCAGCTTGTGATATAGAATGAAGTATAGATTGAGTTTCAGTTGCATCAGAAGATGATTTATTTATTCTTGACTTAATATTGTAAGTATCCCTGGGAAGCAAATCCACATCATGCTGTTGTTCAAACACTCGCCTGGCCTCAGATGCCTGAATCGTGGTGCAGGACATCAACAGATGCGTTGCCGCTTTTAGTTCCACCTTGCGTTTTTCCGGATACAAGCGGCCCATCTGGAAAAAAACCACACAAAGGTTACTTTGCAATAATAAGTATTATGTAAAAAAATATGTCCTGCAAACATTATTATTATTAGTGGTCTTATACAATGTTCCCTTTAAGCTGTGCGGCCGCGCAGCCATCTCACAGACGCCGCGCAGCAGTTTTGAGTATCCCCGCAGCAAATTTCCCTGTAAGTGTGTGTTTGTGTTTCTGGACTGTAAAATTTTGCACACAAAAAAAATGATGCTTTAAAACTTTGCACATAACTGTATGATTTTGCACACAAACCAACAAACCTTCGAGGGAACATTGGTCTTATATAGCACGGTATACCCCAGCCTAGGTCTGGGTTCACCGCTGTGTACATAAAAATAACTAACCTTCACCTTGGGGATACATTTTTTAAAGTTTATTATATGTCACAATAATAAAAATTAAGATATAAAACTCTGATTGCACTATGTAGAATTTATTAAATTTAATTTTACTGTTAAATAGATTGGTCTTAATTTTTTTCAAAACCTTTCTTCTTCTTCTTCTTCTATATCTTAAGGGCCCACGATCAATTTATTGATCATTTTGGCTCCTATGCATGTAGATGGGATTTGCAATGTTTCTGTTACTGGTGGTGATGAAGAAATTATGCACTAGGGGTTTGAAGGCTTGAGGCAATAGACACAAATGTGTCTAGTGTTGTCGCCTCAACTG